CTTGCACAACTGATGAGGCAAAGAAGGTGAAAGGGAAAATAAGAAATAGCTTGTGGTACAAATAACCGTGACTTATGACATCTTATGGATGCAATGAAAACTGCTCAGAGGGGAATGTGTGGCTGCAAGTACACAGACAGCAAAGGGTTCTCAAACTGAGAACTTAATCCTCTACTTCAGAACATGGGAAATCCCAAACAAGAAGAGAAATGAAATAAAATGGGATTAGAGCAGAGATGTCTGCATAACAGGGTTAAAACCAAAAGGGAAACTGTGAAGCCAAAAGCTGATGCTTTGAAAACATCAAATCAAAGTTGGCCAACATTTAACTAGATTGACAGTGAATAAGAGGAAAAGCGAGGAAATAGAGAAAAGAATGAAGCTCTGTAAAGCAGGAACAGAAGAGGAAGGGATACAGTGCTGCTCTTGCAGGAGTGAGAGCGATTGTGAAGGGATGGTTGAACACGTTTGTCAAATTAGATGAATAACATGAAGTGAAAATTTCCTAGAAAGATTAAATCAACCCCTGAGGTGAACCAGTATTTAGTCAGCTGTGGCCTTTAGCTCTAGCTTCTCAGGAGGCTGAGGCAGGGGGATGCTTGAGGCCAAGTGTCTGAGGGCATGCTGAGCAGCATGAAGGATCCCATTCTAGAAAGCAATGAATAACATGGAATATGGGAGAGAATGAAGAGAAGGAATAACAGAGACTGGAATTCAAAACTTCCAGTAAATGAAGAGCAGTATTAGACAGCTTGGCAATTTATTAAAAATTAAGGACAATATTTGACAAAGTCTTCCAAAAGAGAAAAATCTCTCCCAATCTTACTCTGATATTAGTATTCTTGTAATACAGTGGTCAGAAAAATACATCACAGGAAAAAAAAAACACCTAAAGATGAAATAACTTACAGAAGAAAACACTCATCAGAACAGTTTCAGTTAAAGCTATAAAGTTTCCAGTTTGTAGTTCAGGTTTATCCCAAATTCGAGTGTCCTGCCTCAGCCTGCTGGGTACTAGGAGTAGTGCTGTGTTAGGAAGGGTTTCTATTGCTGTGATAAAGCACAGTGACCAAAATACACTTAGAAGAAAAGGATTTATTTGATCCTACAGCTTGTAGTCTATGATAGAAGGAAGTCAAGGCAGAGACCAAGGCAGGAACTAGAGCTGAGGCCATGGAGAAGTGCTGATTACTGGCTCACTAGCCATGGCTTGCTCATGATGCTTTCTTATAGAACCCAGGACCACCGACAGAGTGGGCTGGGCTCTCATTACTACATCAACCATTAATTAAGAAAGTGATCTAAAATTATCATCAGTTGTAAACATTTATTCATGCATTTTTTCAATTAGGATTCCTCTTTCCACATAACTTCCTCCTTCTGTCAAGCTGATGAATAACCCACCACAGCAACAAGGACACGCTGTCATGCATTAGATGTTCTATGAGCATTTCCAAATTATTAACTTCTATGAGAAAGTGAGATTTGTTCCTAATCTCAGATTTAAAACTAGGTAATGAAGGGTAGACAGACAGGCAGGCATGGCGAGAGACAGTGAGAGAGAGAGAGAGAGAAAGAGAGTGAGAGAGAGCAAGTGTGTATGTGCACATTTGCACATGGAGATCCAGAGGACAATCTATGGTATCTGTCATTCTTCAGGTTCCAGCCACCTTGTTTTTGAGAGAGGATCTGTTTCACTGACCTGTACCTTGTCTATTGGTAAGACTGGCTGACTATTTGCCACTGGTTGTAGCACAGGTTTGATGTAGATGATGGATTTCCTGTTTTCCCCTGTCTGGAAATGATTACTCTGCCTTTACACTTGAAAGACAGCTTTGCTAGGAATAGAACTCTAGCTTTTGTGCTTTCAAGGCACTGCACCATTTTGTTCCCTCAGTTCCTTACCTGCATAGCCATCTGCACCTCATGCCTAATCTAATTCAGTTGTCACAGGTTGGAGAGTGCTTTGGCATTGGGAAGGTAGCCATACTCATGAATGCAACAGAGAAGCCAGGGTTCTGTCAGACACTTAGGAACAAGGAATATTTGGTCGGTGGCCATATTCAGTACTGTTTTCATATTAGACCTGGTGCAGGTTGGACCCTATGACTAAAATTCTCTTCAGTTATGTGCACACTCAGGTGAGACACGAACATTAAATTCCTATGCATCATTAGGTTTACCTTCTCTGTCCTGGAAAAACAGAAGACCAAGACAGCACTTTGATACTTTCAAGGGAGGCAAGATGGGAGAGTTCTGGACTTGAGCTTTGATTTGACTGTGCATAGACAGTGGATGCTTTTTGTGGTTTAGTCTTTATTGCTTGTCAAAACTTTTTCCCTTAACAAAAACTCAATTTTTGTGACTGTTCAATGAGTTGAAAGGAGATATGCATCTCCTGTGACTGCATTTCATCCCTTGTCACTGTACCAGGAACACTGCAGGCTTCTCCCCACCTCTTACTGGGCTGTTTCATATGAAACACAGCACCTGCACAACAACTTCATCTCTCACTGTTTTGTTTTTGGATACACAAATTTGTGGAGACATGTATGTCCCAGAAATGTCCAAGTCTATAATGTCACAGGGCCATGCTGGGAATGAGCCACATGCAAACCTTCCTCCAGCCCTCTGGAAGCCGATTCTCCTCAGGTGGACAGAGCTGGCCTTGGGCATCAGGAACAGCCACAGAGCTTTACAAATGCAGCAGCCTGGGTCAGCCCCAGATCTGCAGGAGCAGCATGTCTGAGGACAGGGCTCTAAACACAATCACCACCTTCCTTGGAAGCAACAGAGAGGAAGGGGAGGGGTACAGACCAAGTCCTGGTGCCACAGATGCTGAGACCTGAATTAGGAAGCTGTAAGCCAAGAACACCTGGGGTCATCCAGAGCCAGAGGAGACAAGGGAAGGTTCTCTGTAGGCACCCACAGGAGAGCCTGGTTTTGCCGACCCTTGCATTTTGTTTGTGCCTTTATCCTCAGCTGTGAAAGAATATTACTCTGTATTATTATCCCACCCAATGTGTAGTGTTTTATTATAAATTTCTAGGAAGTCAATAGGAATTGGTATTGCTTTCTCATTTCCACTCACACAGCTGGGGTTGTGCAGTGGAATACATTTTATTGCACCAATTATGGGTTCTAGGACAATGATAATGAAATTGAAATTGGTTGTACATCAGGAGACTTACAGTTGGAGCACATTTATTTCCACGTGGAAGAGTGAGATATATACTTTATAAAGGGAGAAGTCAAGAGGTGGGAAGAGAGGTCCAGAATTCCCTGAATGCTGTCTTGGCAATCCTTTTCACTAGGGTATGTCCTTCACTGGCAGTTGCTGAGTGGAGCCCATGGCAGGGCTAACAAACATGCCCAAGCTGGTTTGTCTCAGAGGGAGAATGCTCCATAGGCTCCCATCCCCCGCAGTGCATGGAGAAATCCACAGACTCCAATGAGCTTGTAACCACTGTTCTCCCAGAGTTAGGAGTCTACCTGTCTAGGACCAGACACACCCAAGTGGGCTTTTTTCCCTGGTGATGGGTGTAGGGTCCAGCTCCATTTTCTCTTCAGCCCTGCCTTTCCCAGCTCTGTGCACAGGGAAGAATCCAAGGGGAAGGAACACGGAAGTGGTGCTGACCATGACCCAGTTCAGAAAGGACTCCAAAGCATATTCCATTTATAAAGTATTCATGGTCTAAAAGCCCTCCAGGGAGTTGAAAGTATTTGCTCTACCGTTTACCAGCTCTGATGGTGTTTTAGAAATGTTACTTAACCTCCTTGATTGTCACTGTGCTCACTCTTATACTGATGTCCCGTGTCACAACATGGCAGAAAAAATTTAGAGGACTCCTTTATTGGCCGGCCCACAGGAAGTGCTCAATATTAATGGGATTATCATCAGTGTTCACTGCTGTTAACATTCTGGTTTCTCTTGGCTTTATCCCACCCTTTTCCTGGGGGTCACCCCTTTTCTCAGGTTTACAGAATAGTAGATGGGCGTAATAAGGACAATTTGAGGTTCTGTTATGATTAGCAATTAGCAGTTTGATGTTTCTTCTGGGGCTCCAAATCACCAGTGCTCTGGAACTGCTAAGAATGGTGGAGGTGAGCTCTTATAGAGGGGCACAAAGTTCAACACAAGTGCATACTTAAAAAAGTGCATGATCTATTATTGAGTGTACTGTCCTGTAGTGGATTCACACATTATACATAATTAAAGGCTTTTTACATGTACATTTTTTTTATAGATAGATTGTTTACTTGGCCTGAATTTAAACCACGTTGACAGCTGGAGAGGTCTGAAGAATGTTCATTCATGCATTTTTCTGTGTCAGAAAAACCCCTCAAACTTCAAAGATGCTCACACCTAATCTTATATAACCAAGTCAAAAGTGCTCCCTTATTTTTAGGGCAGATTGAGGTAATACATTTTGCAAGCAAGAAAAGAAAATCTTACAACAATTTTTATAATAAAAGTTTCATGTTAACAAATGTTACTTTATAATCCAAGGTAATATCCCAATTGATATTAGTGTTTATAAATTTTTTAAAAAAGCAAGAAAAGTAAAAAAAAAAATAATTATATTTCCTAATGTATTAGCTCAAAGAATGCATTCTATTTTATGCCCCTTTCTCCATCCTTATGTTGTCCTTTTCTTTAAACCAATATTTGCAGAGTGCTTTCCTACTGGTACAAGTACGAAATGACGGAAACATTCGTCCAACCCCCCATTGACATTTAGACTGTAGGTTCGCTTCCTAGCAGGGCTCGGCACATGGCCACTCAGGATCTTTACCATTGGCTCATGGACGCCAAAGGTGTCAAGAGTTGTGCTCTTGCTCACTTGTACGAACTAGCACGTGCACATTGTGTTTAGAAGTGTTGCTTGGCAACCGTGCTTCTGCCAACTGCTTAAGGCCCTGGTTGGGAGACGTTTAAGTCCTGAGCTCCTCTGTGCAAATGTTGCTGGCGAGTCTTATTTTTTACTGAGACCTAATACTGGGCTGGGGTACCAGAAAAGATGAGAATTTGGGAAGGGACCTGAAGCCAATGGCTTTTGCCATGAAGAAGATCTTTGGGGTTAAGGAAAAGACACCCTTCGGTTTCTGTGATGGCCCACAAATGTCCGTCTCTGAATTTTTCTTCGGTGAATGTCCCAACTATCCAAAATACCATACAACATACAGACCCGCAGGGCAGATCCATCGGGTTGCAGCTGAGGGCGATGCAGGCAGGATGGAGATTCTCATCACGCTTGGACAATGCAGCGTATTTGACAGAGACCACAAGAACAGGTATGGGGGAGGGAGCGCAGGCAACTGTCTATCTCATGGGCTGGCCAGCATGGGAGAAGGGCTGTTTCTCTCCCTGGCTTCCCCAAGAGGTTGGATGGACAATGAGGGAGGGGGGTCCGCCTGTGCTTCTGGGGCTCAGCACCCGAGACCTGTACACCTGGGAGGGGTCCTGAGCTGCCAAACTAACTTTTGACTGCTTCCCCGTCTCCTTCTGATTAGTCCAACAGAGCTGGCAACCAGAGCTCTGCCAGTTGTGTCTGCTGTTGTCAAACATCAAAGTCCTGATGTCCCTGTGTCCAGAGAGACATGGTTTTCACAGAGACCTAGTATTGGCTGGGGTCTGGGGTGAAGTGACGAATGTGTTCTATTCACAGCATACACACGGATCTTAGATGCTGTGTTAAGAAAGGGGCCATGCACTGAAGTGCTGGCACACACGGACATCTTTCATGCTGGTGTTGAAAATAATAGCACTTCCTCCCATTTCTTTCTTTCTCCTTCTCTTCCCTCCTCTTTTCCTTTCCCTGTTTCCCTTCTCTTCTCCCTCCTCTCCTTCCTTTTCCTCCCCCTCTCCCTTTTCCTTTTTTCTACTTCCCCTTTCTCCTCCTCTTCCCCTCTTCTTTCTCCTCCTCCTCCCTCTTGCCCTTTCCTTGTCCTTCCCACCCCATTTCCGGTGGGGAGGGCTTCTCCTAACAGTGTCCTATGCCCTGCCATCTCTGTGTGAAGCAGAGCTGGAGTTTATTAGAAAGTTAAACAGTTGTAAACACATGAATTGATAGAGGACACTACACACCCAAGATAGGGACTGGGTTCAACCTTCTCAAGAGTTACCTAGATACCTTTTTTTGTTTCAAAGTTTATGCATCAGGAAGTTGAGGCATAGGAAGACTGAGAGATTAAACCCAAGGGGAATTTAATTCAAAGATGATGTCTTTCTTTTCTTAAAGAAAAATCTTTTTTCATACAGTATAATCAGATCAAGCTTTCCCCTCCCTAGCTCTTTTCACACCCTCCTCATGTCCTCACTCACCCAACTCCACATGCTTTATCTCTTTATAAAACAAGGAAATGAAACAAAACAAGACAAAAGAAAACTATCCCCAAGAAACACACACAAAAAGAGTCCCAATAAAAGCACAAAAATGGAAACCAAAATATACAGCAAAAGACCAATAATACATTTTTTTTTTGGTAAACAAAGGAAAATGAGACAAATGTTTACAGAAATACTACTGAGTTCATTTTATATCCAGCCATGCTTTCTTATATTCAAATAAGCTGCTCTGGGCTGATTCAAGTGAGCAACTCAATGACAGAGCAGTTCTTAACAGGAAGATGTGATCTATCCATGGGTCACATGGTCACATAGAGAAAGGACTTCAGATAGGTTGTCCTTTCTTTAGAATTAAAAAAAAAAATAAAATAAAATAAAAACTGGAAATTTTGTCCTTTTCTAAGAACATCGAAGATTTGTTTAGAAGGCAAGAAAATGACAGGATATTTAATGTGATAATTACACATTGGGACAGTGTTCTACAATGTCACAAAGACTCCTTTTATTTCCACAGGACAGCTTTGCATTTTGCCTGTGTCTATGGCCGTCTACCAGTGGTGAATGTTCTAGTGAATAATAATTGCGAGATCGATGCCTTGGACAAGAACCACATCACACCTCTGATGAAGGTAGGTTGCGCCATTAACTTCAGCATGAGCTCCAAGTGATTGAAGGGATTATGGTGGAAAGAATGCTACCTCCATTTACATGTAGCTTGCTGATGAAACCTGAGGGATGTTTATCTTGGATTCCTTGAGCTGATAATCTGCTTTTTGTTATAAAACGCAGTCTGTCCAATGCTGGAAGCAGAAATGTGCAGCTGTTCTATTGGAGCACGGTGCTAATCCGAACATTAGGGATGACAGCGGCAACTGCGCCTTGCACTATGCTGTGTACAACGGGCATGAAGAGATGGCATCACTACTGCTCGAATACCATGCTGATATTGAACAAAAAACCAAAGTACAGTTCACTGCTTTTTAATTTCAAAATCCAAATACATCTTTTAATAGTGACAAAGGTGGGGGTCCAACATTTCATGTTTAGAAACCTACACATTTCCTGAGTGAAAATAGTTGGAAAAGGACTCAACTGTAGAATCTGTGAGTCCAACACCCAAATTTAGAAACATTTGATGCACAGCTATTTTTACACATTTAATGTGAAATATTTGAGAAACCACTGAATCTCTTAGAGGTTCAACTTCCTCATTTTTGTCTTTTCCTAATCATCTCCCTTGACTTTTGTAAAGTTTGGAAATGGCTTCCTCTCAAAACTCAGGGACAACCAAATCGCTCACGTAAAATGGAAATCGTGATGCTGATGGCAAGTTATTGCCAAGTGACCTGAGGCTGAAGAAGAAAAGGAGCAGAGGGAAATGTGGTGCATCTGGAAATTAGGTTCCTCTGCAGGAGGAGAAGCAGGCAGATGCACCCCGCAGAGTCTCCACTCCAGCTTGATCACCAGGGGCTCAGGAATGCTGAGGTGGATGGGAATAGAATGAGTTCACACTGGGACTGCATCTGATGGGGACTCTTGCAGGCTCTGAAGAAGCTTAGGTTCATGTGACTATTCTAGGGCAGGAGAGGAGCATTTCAAAGACAGGAAACAGGGCAAGTGAAAGGGAGCATTGTTAGAAGGTAGGATCATTTACCCACCGTGACTTTATGCTTTTATCATGCATTTGTATTTGTACTGTCCTTTATAAGATTTTTAGGTAAGTTGAGACATGTAACTTTTAAATTACAAATTGGTTTTATTGTTTTGCAGGATGGCTTCACACCACTTTTGCTGGCACTCAGAGAGAGGAGAGTAGAGGTGGCAGAATTTTTAGTGAAAAAAGGAGCAGATGTACATGTTGTAGATGACATGCAAAGGTAAAGTCATTTGAAATAAAAGGAAGTTGAACATTAGTGGTAGTCTGAACTGCTAGCAACCATGCAACTCAGAAACATAGTTGGTTGGAGGAAGAGGACTAATTTACCAAGGATACAATGAAAACATAGATATAGGCCTCAGTTTAGTCTGTTAGAGATGAAAAGTATTTGTTTGAAGTGAGCAGTGCAAATAATTTCTCTCTCTCTCTCTCTCTCTCTCTCTATATATATATATATATATAACCTCTTTCTATATAAATATGTATGTCACATTACCTTACTGTACTGAATGAATATTGTTATTTATAATATGACTTTGTTGGCCCTTTGGTTTTAGGAATTTATGAGCTAAATGAGTTTCATTTGTTTTTAAAACTTATGAACTTTTAGGATGATTATTTTGATTCATGATATGATTGTTAATTATCCAATGGTATTTCTGTTTTTATTTTTAGATTTACTTTTTACTTATTTATTTTATTTAAAATATTTTAGTAACTTTTTGAGAATTTAATGTGATGTATTTTGATCATTCACTCATCATCCTACCTCAACTTTGTATCCTCTTGTTTAGAAAATAATCAATGACATATCCACTCCAGTTTGTGCTGTCCATATACTTATGAATGTGGTGCCATCCACTGGAGCGTCATTCAGGAGCCACACCCTTAAAGCTATCTGATTCTCCCTTCCCTAGAAGCCACCAACAGTCAATAGTTCCTTTGCTAGGAGCCCCTCCCCAGTGCATACAAAGGGATGACTTTGATTGGCTTGATCTTGTATAGGCAACCACAGCTGCTGTGAATTCATGAGCACATCAGTCCTGCCTTGTACAGAAGACATGGTTTTGCTCCACTCCTTCCCAACCTATGACTCCCTATATCCTCTTTCCCGTGGTCCCTGAGCCTTGAGGAAGGGGTATGATGTAGATGTCCCATTTGTGGCTGAGGCCTCCTCAGTTACTTATTTTCTGCCCTTTGACCAGCTGTGAGTTTTTGCATTAACCATCTGTGGTGATTATTTTGTTTGTGCTTTAACAAATAAAACTTGCCTGAAAATCAGAGTGAGGAGCTGGCCACACTAGTTAACCTTGGAGACCAGGTAGTGGTGGCTCACACCTTTAATCCCAGTAATTGGGAGGCAGAGACAGGAAGGGATATTGTTGGGCAGAGAGAGGAATATAAGGCAGGAGGAGACAGAGTTCATGCATTTAGTCTGAGGATTCCTAGAGACAGGATCACCATTTAGTCTGAGTGTTTGGTAGAGGTAAAGGGTCTCTCTAGTGACTGGCTGCTCTGCTTCTCTGATCTTTCAGCATTAATCCCTATATCTCACTCTGGGTTTTTATTATTAAGACCTATTAGAACACATGCTACAACCATCATTTACCACACAAGAAAACTTCTCTATTGAGGTCTCAGAGATCTTATAGTATTTTCACATTTCCTTCTTGTATACGTTAAGATAATATATTCAGCCAAATAGGAGCTGAAAATTATGGTATGAGGAATCACTCTTTAAATTGCATTTCTTTGTAGAATATTGATGTCAGGCTACCCTTAAGTTAATATTAATTGTTATGATTAAATGTTAATTTTTCCTCCTTACCATCCCTGATTTATTTTAACCTATTTATATTTACTTGGCATTGGAAGGGAGATAAAAGCAATAATTGAATAAAATTTAATGAAGATAAATCATAAATGAATGTTAAAAGAGGAGGTTTTAGGTACATTTAAGACTGGATTAAATTTTCAGTTTTCCCAGTTGCTAGGTATGTCATCTTCAGAATGATGCTCACACCCACATATACCCCCTGGTGTGAAACAGATGATAACATCTTTAATAAGGAGTTATAGGATTATTTACATAGCCCTTAGTTTAGTACAGTTACATAGTCATCAACATCAGTAACTAAAAGAACTATGAATTTTATTATTATTATTTTTTGTATTACCACCATTCAAATCATGCACATAACATTGAATTACTTCATCTTCAGCTTATTAAGAACTGTGATATATTACATTAGGCTAGGGAAATGTGAACTCTTCCTTAACTTTTTCAGAGGTGAAACTTCAGCATAGCTAAAGGAATTCTACCCCAAAGTAGATAAGTGGGAAAAGCTATTTCCTTCTTTATCCTGGGGGGATAGCCTCACAAAGAGGAACAATTAGGGGTCCATGATGCTATGTCTGTTAGAAAATGGTTCATTCTACACAGACAGGTGAGATACTAAGTTGGTAAGACACATCTATGTAGATTTAACTAATTTCATTCATTTTATAACAGTGAATCAATCTTTCTGCTATTTTAGAAACACCTTGATATATGCTATACGATGTGGATCAAAAGATATGGCTACATTACTCCTTCAGAAAGGCATTGACTTCTTCTACAAGGATGTCTTTGGATGGACGGCATTACGGTATGCTATTGAAGGCCACTGTACTTTGTAAGTATTTCTATTAACATGTTAATTAAAGTTATACTGATGTTAAAACACAGATACAACTGTTGCATTGTCCACTTGAGGGGTCACTGCACTGTGTAGTTTTAGAATGTTGGTGTGGGTAGTTTTAGAATGTTGGTGACTTAGTCTACCCAGCCAGTCAGAAATCAAGCAAAATAGGAACAGCATTGGGAATGGAACACTTAAGCTCAGGACTCCTTTTGGTAAATGCTGAGCATTGGACCCATAGCCTCCCATGTGCTAGGCAAGTTTTCTCTCATTTCCAGCTAAGATCTTTAATCTCAGGGATCTCAGCATTTTCCATGCTATCCCCAAATATAACCCCTACTAATGAGATACAAAAAGTATCAATTCTATTTTTGATCTTTTAAAGTAGCTGCTTGAATCTTGAAAGGCCCACTTTAGTAAACAATCATGTTACTTTCCTGTGAGAGCTGTCTTCTGTACCCTCCTCCTTGGCTTTCCAGTACCTGAAGAGATTCTTACATCCAAGGAAACCAATTCTCTTAGAAAAGACAGATGGACAAGAAGGAAGAGGGTAGCCTATCAGTCTTTATTTCTGTTGGTTCTGTCACTGTAAAACAAGCCCTGAAATTCCATAGCAAGTGATATTAACCACTATGATGAGCAAGAGCCAGACTTCAAAGTTTTTATGATAATATACACTCAGAACTGAAAGTTACAGTCCTTTTTCTTGGGTCAGCCAATCAGATAGGAAGGGCAGAGAAGTGCTCCTGTAGTTCTTTAATATTATCTATGTAAGTGATCACCAATAAGCATCCATTTATCATTTATTTTGGGTCTAGTGAAATCTTTATACCCACACCTTACGCTTCCCTCTTTCTGCTTCCGTCTGCCTGAAGTCACACCCAAAGGGTTGTGCTCACCATTACAGGTTCACAGGCAAGACACCACTACAAAATTTTCTTCTTTCCTTATAGGCTTAATTACAAGATTTAGAGCCCGTAAGTTTCAAATATGGAGTAAAATCTTCTCATAGTGCCTCTACTGTTTTCAGTGATAGTCTCTGTTTAGACACTGGGTCTTATGTGCCTCTTGTGGACTTGAGTTTGCTATGTGTCTGAGGATGACTTTGAACCTCTTGATCTTTCTGCCTGTACCTCCCAAATGCTGTGATTACAGGTGTGTGCCACTACGTCTGGTTCTAACCAGATGCTAGAGATAGGACCCATGCTAGACAAAAACTCTGCCAATGGAGCTGCACCTCTGACCTCTGGAGTATTCTTAAGAATTAAGTATGCTAAAAATGTTTTTAAATAAGTCTTAAAATAATAATTGTACTTATTTTTTCAAATGACAGTAGACAGATGCTTCTGGATTTTGAAGAAAACATACATAATAACAAAAATGATAGTGAACCAGGTAAGACTTATAATGCTCTTTGTAGTTCTACCATACACGAAAATGTTGAACTAAGAAAGTTTTCATTTAAAAAGAGTGGAAAATTGTATTTATATTTACTTATGTTCTTTCTGAATATTATACAGATCAGTATACAGATCAGAATGATCACAGATATTAATTACATGAAACTTACAATCAGAAGTGTGACCTTGTCTCAAAAAAAAAATCACATGACGAGTCATTGAGGAAGACCCTTAATATTGACCTCTGGAGTCCATTTGCATGTGCACATATGTACACAGACAAGCCCCAGCTCCAATAATATGTGTATTTCACGAGAGAGAGACAGAGACAGAAAGGCGATAGACAGAGGGGCAGAAAGAGACAGACAGACAGACAGAGAGAGGAGAGAGAAAACAAAAGTAATCAATGTCTTTGTTTTTGTGGAACTAGGAATTGAACCCAAGACTTCCTGCATTTTAGGTAAGCGCTATATAATTAGATTTACCTCTAGCTTTTTTTTTCATCATCAGAAGTTATGATGGCAAAGAATTTTTATGTAAAAAATATATATGTTTATTAGTCATGTTTGTTTGAATAAGATTCTTGTCGAAGAAGTCACACTGTGACATAAATATTCAGCTCCAGGGCTAGGTAAGGATGGAGCAGTCTGGAATTCATAAATGTAAAGGCGATGGCTTCTGGTTTAGGACCATTTCTTCATGATTTTGATATGTCCTTGCTTGGGGAAGTTGGAAGTGGTTGCTGCCTTGATGGTCTCAAAAGCCACTCAAAAGTGTTCTGTACCTCTGCTCTGCTGTCGTGAAGGGCATGCTCAGTCAGTAGTGGTTCTCAGCCTCCACCTCCAGGTGAAGGATCCGGGGCTGCCCTTACTTCCTGATCCATTGCCTGCCAGGAATGTGGCCACAGAGGAGGAATTTGATGTCTCTTAGGTTGCTCTTGCTTCAGAGTCCCTCAGACACTGTATTTATATATTTCTTTAAAAGAAAACAGTATATTTTTATGTCTGTGAAAACATGGCATGGCCACACATGCAAATGGGATGGAGATGTATGATGTGGAAGACACAGAATAAATAAAAAAGAAAGTGAAAACAAAAGGGTTGGCTTGAACAAGCAGCACACAGGTGACTCTTGCATCTTCACTGGCATGTGGAAAGTCTTTGCTGGGGCTCTTGTACCTGGTCTGCTTTGGTGTTTTGAACCCTTCCCCTGTAGGGTGCAGTGTCCATAGATAAGTGTCAGTGTCATAGCATATTAATCCTAAACTGAAAAATTCAACTTGGATTACTTGGAAAATCTCTATTCTATTCTAAGAAATAAACACATTCTCTTATTAGATGACATGACATTATGGCCATAGTCTATATCCCCTTATTAATCTTCCTATTAGCCTAGGTGTATCAGGCAGCTTGCTTGACACTACCAGTTTATAATATGACAACAACATTTTAAAGTTAGTTTCATAGTACTTCACTGGGATTATGGCCATTGTACACAACATTGTACTTTTCATAAATTTTGTACATATTTTTTCTCCCTCCTTGTGACCCATAAACACAAACAACAGAAAGGTCATAATGCATTGACTGCTCCATCAGCAGTATAATTCATATCTACTGTAGAAGAGTCCCATGATGTGTTTCCAAGTGTATGTCTTCTAGCAAAGCTTCTGAGTCATAGATTTTTAATATTTGATACTTCTCTTTCATCTTTTAAAATGCATTTTTATTTTTCTTTAGAAGAACAAATGGATTCTGGAAATGACTCATTGGTTGGGTAAGTTGTACATGTTGATAAAATCTGTATGTTACCTAAGTATTGAAATAGACAGATGTTCAGCATCCTACTCTGGGGGGCACCATGCTTTATATTTAAAATACTGTTGTTTACTAGCATTCTCACAATAGACTTTCAAAGTATATGCTACCACTTCAATGGATTCTTCACTAAGTAGGCAGCCATCTTGCTTGACTCTCCCATTCAATCTCTTGCTTACTCATAGGTTGGCAAGAGCCTGTGTAGCTCTGAAATTTAGATAAGATCTATTTCAGATCAATAGCAAAAGTCAAATTTATATATGAACTCCTTTAGAATCTTCTTGAGAAGTGCAGATATACCCTAACAATTTGTTCAGAATTTTGATAATCACAATGCCAGCTAGTACTCTGTCTTGAGTACCAAGAGTTGTCTGCCCCACCTTGTTTACATGTATTTTGGACAACAGGAATAAGCCAGAAGAGGATTTTCTTTCGTGGAAATCAAGGATATCCATATGCAGAACATGTGGTACAAATTACATTTAATAAATTTTAGGAGATAATTGAAAAATTAATATCCCTACTTATTGATTTTTTTCATTTTTTTCTCCTTTAAGCTTCTATACATACTAGTCCAATGACAGTTTTACTTTACCTATGCTTGTTCTTTTATTTTTGGTGATAATAACCTTTTCTCTGTAAACCAACTTTTCTGTTTTTCTTCTTTTGCTTCTGTCAACTAAATATTGTTTTTCTGCAGAGAAAATTAAAATGCATAAGAAATTTCAGAATTTTAAGGAGTCAAAGAACTAATCAAAATATACTCTTGTATTTTATCCAGATGGAGAGATTAAAACTCGAAAGGTATTAATGTGACTTTTCTGGATGGAAAAAAATTGTGCAGATGACATTTAGACTCATGTGACTTAATATTAAAGCCAAGTGTCATTCTTGTGTTTGATTGATGGGCATTTTAATAAAAGAATTGGGAGGTGAGCCCAGTAATTCCATGAGCACAGGATAAGAATAAAATAAAGATGGCGGAGGACAAGAACGATGTTTATCAAGAATCAACACATATAGAGAAAAGGACACTGGGGTCATTTGGATTTAGGTTTCAGAGAGAAGACTGGAATACAGGCATTTTTGACAAATTTGATAAAAATAAGACAGGGATTAAAGACACAGGATATTGAAAGTTTATATGCAGGCATGTTGAAACTGGAAATCACGACATTCTTGATAAAGATACTGTTTGTTTCTTGAATTGTAGGAACTGGAAAACATCAACATTTCTGTTGGAAATCATTAAGATAATCTGAACTGTTGGGGAGCATCTCTATAACAGCTAGGAGTATGGTGCTATGCACAGCACCTCAGTTTAAATGAGGTGTAAGCACCAGGGGCTAGAAGTTGAGGAACGAAGTGTCCCTGTGGATGAGCTTCCTCCAGCTTTGCTGATCAAACTGACATCTTTCAGTCTGCATGATGGGTAGGAAAATGATTACAGATCACCTGGTACTGCAATCACTGAGGCTTTGTTGGATAGGCTTTGTTGGATGAGGAAAATGGCTGTGTGAATAGTTGAAGCTCTATTTAGCTTGATGCTTTGAAAACACCTTTACTTAAGATTTTTCTGTGCTGGAGATCTTCGTTTTGGAGATTGGCATTGAGCTCCACAGAGGTGGAAGTGGTGGTCACCAGAAGGAAGTATTTCTAAAAGTCTTGGAAGGACAGGTGCAACTATCGGGAGACTAGTTTTACAGAAGTTTTCCTCCTTGAGTGTCTGGGCACTTTTGAGAGTTTTTAAGTGTTTGATAATTTATGTGAACATGAAAAATGCAAGAGGAAAGGAAAGTATCTTGGGGGTATCTCTAACCAACCAAGCAAATGAATTGTATGATTAAAAATTCAAGTCTTTGAAGAAGGAAATCCAAGAAGATGTCAGAAAATGGAAAGATTTCCCATGCTCATGGATCAGTAATATCAACGTAATAAAATAGTAGTTCTACCAAAAACAATCTACAGATTCAACACAGTCCTCATCACAATTCCAACATGATTCTTTACAGACCTTGAAAGAACAATCCTCAAGTTCATATGGAAAAACAAAGGATAGCTAAAACAATCATGAGCAATAAAAGAACTTTTCAAGGTATCACATCCCTATTTTCAAGCTGTTCTACAGAGCTATGGTAATAATAATAATAATAATAATAATAATAATAATAATAATACCTGCATGGTATTGGCAGATAAACAAACAAGTGAATGGAATAGAAGACCCAGACATAAATGCTCAGTCATATAGACACCTGAGTTTTGATAAAGGAGCTGAAAAAACAGTGGAAAAAAGAAAGTGTCTTCAAAAAATGGTGCTAATCTAACTGGATACCTACATGTAGAAGAATGCAAATAGACCCATATTTATCATCCTGCACAAAACTCAAGTCCAGTTCAACAATAATTGGAATTTAAAAATTTAAAATATCTAATCTTTTTTGGAAGAACATTTCACTAACCACACATCCTTGATTTTTGTTTGACTCTTATGTAGTTTGTCTCAAGAGACCCTCTTTGATATTTTTGACTGAAGAGGACAAATGGTTTCTTTTAAGTGGTTGTTTTGCGATCTGAGAAACCATGCCTTCCATCTTTCACAGAGCTTGATCTTAGTGTTCTTTGATCCAGGGAAAGATGTGGAGAGTAGATGATGGATGCCTCCTTTCTCCTATTTAATGCTATCAGGTTTATTTCAGCTATTCTAGCCCAAATGACATGAGCCATTAGTTAATTTATCAGTTTCACATTCATTAAAGGCAATTGGTTAAGACACCTTCTTGGGCTGTTACTATTTTATATGGGGTATAGAGTCAGTCTTCACTGGATAATTCATAAGTAGGAAGGGACAAGTCAAGGTAAGAGAAGGCTTTGATATAGTAAAGTCACATCATATTTACACAAATTAAGACGCCCTATTTCACATGCACGCAGCTGACTTTGTACAAGACTTTTCAGAATAGTTCTTGCCTGTCTTTATTGCATACTTTGCTCTGTAGGATTTCCAGCTGTCCTGATCCTGGACCTCCCTTGCCTGCAATGAAGGAAGATGACTACAACTCTGATACCAAGGTAGGATGCTCCTGTGAGGAATTAACTTCCTTGCACAAGGTTTGCTTTTGTCTTACTCTTAAGATTTAGAGTGGTCTGGATGCAATTTTAGCACATGGATAGTAAGCAGAAACAAGATTATGAGTAGCCAAAAACAAGTGTCAATATGGTAAACAATGAAAAGGTCTAGTAGCTACTTTGAGGTTGTGGGGAAATGGGGTGAAAATACAGAGCTCAAGAGAAATTGTATTAGCTGTAGGCTTCCAATAATAGGGGATATTTGAAATTTGGTCAACAATTATTTGGACAGGTGTAACTTACTGTGACTTATAATGCCCAAGTAAATCTTTAGTAGATTCAATTTGTTATTATAGTAGTCAATTCCCATAGTGCCTTTAGATTCAACAGCACAGAACATCTAGCAGTTTATTTTCTAGGATACTTTTTATTCATTACATTTTAAACTTATGTTTTACAATTTTCATGTTTCTTGTCTTTTTGGTTTTTGTTATGTTTTTAAGGATACTTAGAATTTTGGAATCCTATAAGCTTTTAGGAGAGGCTATCCTCTATTTGTATCTTTGTTACTCTATTTAAACAGAAATAGTACTAGAAATGGAAAATATAGAATTTAAAAATGTGTTTCTCAAAATTTGTGTTAAAGGGGAATATTGAACATTTTCTAAATTTCTTAAGAGTATAGGGAAAGCTGCTTATGAAGTCAAAGTTGGCATATTTTGCTTCAAACAAAATCCACTTCTAATAAACACATAGCAAAAGTTTAATGTCATATTTAAGAAATTCATTTTCTAAGATCATAAATACATCATTTCTTCCCTTCCCTTCCTCCCTTCAAGTCCTCCCATGTACTTCCCTTGTTCCCTCTTTAAAAAATTGTTACGTGTGTGTGTTCCTAAATATATCCTTAGTTTTCTCAGTCAGTATAGTGTTGCTTACATGTGTTTGTTTTCAAGGATGACCATTCAATATTGGGTAACCATTTGGTCTTCTCTTCCCAGTGGAAGACCACTCTCAGCATTCCTCAGCTGTAGTTCTTTGTGTTGGACTGTGGCCTTGTGAGCCTTCCTTTGTCCACATGACTGCGTATGTTGTATCATCCTCATTCAGTTCATGTTAAGTAGGCATGCTGGTGAGAATTCATGGGTGTAGCTCCTGGCTTTCCCAGGATACACTCTTGCACAGGAAACTCCCCGTTTCCCTGGATATTACAATCTTTCTGCCCTCTTTTCTACAGTGATCCCTTAGCGAGGTTCAGAAGTTTGATGGATGAGAACTACACTGATCCATAAGTATAAGGAATAATATTTAGAGTGTAGTTAGGGATTATGCTGGTTTAGTAAAGTAGTGGTTGTAGGGTCTCCTCCAAGATCCATGTCTTTACTAACCACATGCAGTTAGCTGGTTTTCTAGTACCAAGCATTAAAATGTTCTTCAATGTCAAGTTTTAGATGCTTTGGACATATTTATTTGTTCACTTAAAACTTATAATGGAAGTTAGAAAACCTGTTTGTGTATACCCTGGAACATCTAGAATCAAGTTTTACATACGAGACAATTTTGATTATATTTGAGTGTTAATAAATGAATTAGACACATGGATTTCTATTATGCAATGTTGTATGTAATGTCATATGTGTGATGCAGCTCATAATTAATTCTTCTTCAGCCTTTAGGCTATTCAAAGTTAGGAAATTTACACAGAGGAACTGTGCCATTAAAGGGGAAATTAGAGACGTCAGAAACAGGAAAGAAGGGCTACATGATTTCCAGTAATAAGCTTAGAAAAGAATGTTAGATGAGACTTAAAAAAAATCAGCCACTTTGATCTTCAAAATATACAAAGAACTCAAGAAACTAGTCAACAAAACACCAAATAACCCTATTAAAAATGGAGTATAGAACTGAAGAAAGAATTCTCAATAGAGGAAATAAAAAAGGCTGAAAGACACTTAAGAAAGTGCTCCACATCCTTAGCTAACAGGGAAATGCAAATCAAAATAACTTTGAAATACCATCTTACTCCTGCCAGAATGGCTAAAATTAGAAACACCAATGATGACTCATGTTGGAGAGATGTGGAGAAATGGGAACACTCCTCCACTGCTGTTGGGAGTGCAAACTCATACAGCCATTTTGGAGATCAATATGGCAGTTCCTCAGGAAAATGGGAATTAGTTTACCACAGGACCCGGCAATCCCCCTCTTAGGCATATACCCAAAGGATTCACATCCATGCAACAAAGACATCTTTCAACTATGTTTGTAGCAGCACTATTTGTAATAGCAAGAACCTGGAAGCAACCTAGATGCCCCTCAATTGAAGAATGGATAATGAAGATGTGGCACATCTACACAATGGAATACTACTCTGCAGAAAAAAAATAATGGTATCTTGAAATTTGCAGGCAAGTGGATGGCACTTGAAGAAACCATCCTGAATGAGGTAACCCAGTCACAAAAAGAGGAACATAGTATGTACTCACTCATATATGGATTTTAGACCTAGATCAAAGGATCACCAGCCTATAATTCACACCACCAGAGGAACTAGGATACAAGGTGTATTGTAAGAGATTCATATAAAGTCCCTCACAGAAGTGGGAAGGGACAAGTCCCCCAGAGCACAGGGGAAGTGGGGGGGGCAGCGAATGGAGAGAGAAGTAGGAGAAAGAGAGGGGGAGGAGAGTAAAACACATGCGACCAGGAAGATTGAGCCCGGTTAGGAATAGAAGACGAGAGAGAGAGAGAGAGAGAGAGAGAGAGAGAGAGAGAGAGAGCACTTAAAAGAAGGAGCCAATATTGGTTTGAAGATAAAATTGAACACAAAGGTCTAGAGAACTACAAAACTGCCACCAACTAACAATTTGAGCTTCCGTGGAAAGGCTACCATAAATGCCCTTCCTGGATAGTGAGATCAACAACTAACTTATCCATGGAGCCTTCATCTAATGCCTATTGGAAACAGGAGCAAACACCCATACATAAACACTGAGTCGAACTAGAACCCAGAAGCAGATGGAGAGGACAAGACCAGGCTGCAGAAACACATAGAGACAGTTTACCTGAACAACAAGGAACTATCGGGCCACCAGACCGATAGCTGGGAAGCCAGCATGGGACTGACTCAGGCCCCCCTGATTATGGGTCTCAGCCAGAAGGACTGAGCAGTCTAAGGGACCTCAGACAGTGGAGCCAGAATGTATCCCTGGTGCACAAAAGGACCTTGCAAACACATCCCCCATGGAGGGATAACTGCCTTAACCTAGAGACAGGAGAGAAGCCCTAGTCCATACTTCACATGACCTGTCAGATCTACATGACCCCAACTGGATGGCATTCCCCTACATATGGAATTGGGGTGGGGGGATAGGAGGGGAGGGTGGTTAGGGTGCATGTGAGAGGGCAGAGAGGGTAAAAAGGAGGGAGAGGGAACTGGGATCGACATGTAAAATAATAAATTAAATTAAAAAAGTGCTGTGACTCCAAAATTTAAGTTGAAGGACAAGTTACTGGGGAAAAGGATTTCTATTTTTGTTTCCACAGAAAATGAAAAGCTGTGGATTCCTTCCAGACTAATGTGGTTTGATCAAGCCAGACCACCTGAAACAGAGTACCAGGTGATCCTACATTCAAAACAGCTGGACAAAGCAGCCTTGCAGACTACAGCCAGGATTTCTGCATCTTCTTAGAATCCCATGACAGCACCCCTTACCAGCAGGAAGTAGTTTGTAAAGAACGACGCCTAAATTCCCCCCCCCCAAAAAAAACAGCCACCTAAAAAATATCCAGTCTAAAGCCATATTAGAATCGTGATTATCAATTCTTTCTCCCAGTGGAAATCTGAGAGATAATTTTGTTTAGTGTACTTCTTTTAGCTTTGTTTTCAGTTAGTGGTTACCATATCATGGTTGTTTACCTACAAAATTATTTATTTTACAGCAATAAAATATTTATTATATGATACCCACAAAGGGCAACACTATTATAGACAACAGTATTCCTGGACACATACACCCCTTGCAAAAAGCTTCTTTTCTATTTCTACTTGGAACATATTATTTTCTTCAGTGTTGGAGCTCAAACCCAGCATCTTACACACAGTGGGCAAAAGTTTTTCCACTGAGAAACATATCCAAGCCACTGTGGGTGCTTTATACTAACAGTTTTGTTTAGGAAGCTCTTGCCCAAATGACCCAGTTTCTAAATTCCTCTGTTTTTATACCACCTAATATACATAGAAATAGCTCTTTAAGCCAAATGCCTCTTAATTCTAGTTTGTGTCTGTCTGTCTGTGTCCATTTGTGCAGATGTGCATGTGTCACAGCGAGCATGTGGAGGTCAGAGGTCCACCTTGTGGAGTCATTTCCCTCTTTCCACCATGTGTGGGTTGTTGGTCTCAAGCTCAGGTGTCAAGATTCCTAACAGATACCTCTCCCCTCTGAGCCATCTTGCAGGCTCAAGCCAAGTACCTTAATATGGAAATGATTTCAGTCATCTGAAATACCTCAGTGTCCACTGCTTTAATAGATCAATCATATTTATAAGAATATGTGGTGATATTTATGATTTATTAAAGCTTGCCTGAGAGCTCAGAATACAAAGCTAGTCGCAAGTCATGGAGCCAGGCAGTGGTGATACACACCTTTAACCTCAGTAGCCATAGAGGCAGGCTGTAGTGGCACACACCTTTAATCTCAGGACTCAAGAGACAAGCAGAAGGATCTCTTTTAGTTCAAGGCCACACTGAGCTACAAGAAATTTATCCAGTCTAAAAGAGGAACAGCTCACATAAAGGTGATCTCAGCACTTGAGATCACATGCCTTTAATCCCAGTACCAGGGAGGTGAAGACAGTGGTTGAGAGAGGTATAAAAGGTATACCGAGGTATACCAAGGTATACCGAGAGAGGTATAAAAGGAAGGAACATAGGGTCTCATGTGGAGATTTAGTTTCCAGACAAGGAGACCAATTGTCTCTGTGGATTCATGCAGCTAGCTGGATGACCCTTTCAGTCTGAGGTAGAGGTAAGAGCTGATGGCCTGATCTTCAGCTTGAACCTTGAAACCCAATATTAGTCTCTGGGTTTTTATATGTGTTTACATATGCACATTTATAAAATGCCCCTTTGTTTTTGATATGGAATCTATCTAAGAGTTAGGTGCTATAATTGTAGTTTCTCTTTGGAAATATGCATGCAAGTAAGTATCTTTCTTGCTTGTGAATAGTTTTTCCTGTAAATTGCCATGTCTGGTTTGCAGAAATATTAGCCTTATAAAGGTTTCCACTTAAAGCCACAAAGATGGACTTAATTTAGAGAGGCATGTATAAGGTTCAGTACTGAAACACCTGAGGTTTTAAACATATTTTTCCTTTTCTTGTATGATTGCTTAAAAATAACCAGCTCACATAGTTCTTAAAGTGATTAAGGAAATTTTATGCAGTGAATTGTAATATTAATTTTACCAGAGCATCTCTGAGAGGGCTCCTCTGAACTGCGCTTCTAATCCATCTGTGGCTACAGACAAAATATTTGAGAATACAGAAAAAAGAAAGATGGAAGGTATGCTCTCTACTTTGTAAAAGTGTCATTTTGGAGGAGGTTGTTTAAAACATGAGCATTAGTGATCTAATAACCCAATACATTTTCCTTCTAATGGGCAGTAACTTAACAGAGTGAGGTGAACTGCCAATAAGCTGTGTTTCATCTCAACTTTCCAAAGCACATTAAACTTAGAACGTTACTTGAAGGCACTAAACTAAATTAGGAAGACTATTTCAAGATATGCTTACAATCAAGGGCTACATGTATGTAAGGAAAAGCGAATGAAAACTTGAAAGTACGAAGACCAGAGAGGATGTTTCCTTTTTAAAGGAGAGGGAGGCTCCTGAACACCTGCAAGTAATGATGCATGAACTAAATAAAGGGTGTGCTGCACTTTCACCATGGCAATTTCCTTTTAATTTTTTTTTATTCTGATAGGGGGAGGTTTCAAGGGTAGGGAGCACATGGGAAGGAATGGGGAGATGAATAGAATCAAGATAAATGATGTGAAATCCACAAAGAATCAATAAAAAAAAAAAAAAAAAAAAAAAAAAAAAAAAAAAAAGAGGGAGGATTGGGGCTGCCAGATCCCAGGCAACACCTCACAAACTGGGTACAGGCCTCTTATTAAAGTACATAGACAGAGGCAGGAGTGTAAGGTTATTATCTGCTACACAGAGAGGTCAATGCCAGCTTGAGATACATATACATGGATGCCCCCCTCAAACACACACACACATACACACACACACACACACACACACACACACACACACACACACACACAGAGAGAGAGAGAGAGAGAGAGAGAGAGAGAGAGAGAGAGAGAGAGAGAGAGAGGAAAAGGAAAAGCGAAAGAGCAAGAACAATTCTGGACAACACTGGAATTAACTGAACTTAGTTCAGATGACTTCCATATATATGCATTCAAACCAAAGAAGACGAGGTCATTGCTGCTCCTACGAAAAGTGTTGGGTTGAAGGAATACTAAAATGTAGTAAACTGCAATCATTCATTCACCTCTCCATAATCATGAGGTACTAATGATGTGTATTGAATTGATAACAGTTACCAATAATAATACATAATTGAATGTAGAAGAATATCATATTGCTTATTTATGTGTCTGTGTGAGTAAAGTACCAGTAGTGGACAGAAGAGGCCATGAGTTCTCTGGAACTGGATTTATAGATGGTTGTGAGATAGATACCACATGGGTGCTGGGAATTGAACTCAGGTCCCTTGCTGAGCAGCCAGTGCTCTTAACCACAGAACTATCTCTCCAGCCCCTACAATTATTTTTAATTCAAAGTTAAAAGAATTTATTTAATCATGGCATTTTCACAAGACATTTTTAATGTGCCCATGTTTTTCCCCATTAAAATTTGTTTTCCTGCCCCATTCCTTCTTTTCCTGCTCTTCTGAGAATAATACCATCTGTACTTTTATGCCATTTATACATATGCAAATCTAGATATTACACAGGAGGTAAAACATGTGACATTTGCCTCTCTGAATGTGTCTTATTTAACATACTTTAGCTGTCCTTTGAACAGTTAACACACACCATCGCACCATGGTAATATGGGAAATGATAAACATTATAGGTGTTATAACAAAATTAATATTTTTATTACATTTTGCAGATTCCCCCCACCCCTGAGTATATTCTACTTATTTTTAAATTTCTGTTCACATCCGTGTGAATGTCTGCCATGTGTGTGAGGGTGTCAGCAAATGGCATTTGATCCCATGGAGCTAGAGTCCCAGGCAATTGTGAGCCACCCAATGTGGGCACTAGGAACTGCTCTTGGGTCCTCTGGAAGAGTAAGAAGTGTTAACCACTGAGCAATCTCATGAGCCTCATGGGTACATTTTTTGTTTAGCACGTTTCATTTGTGTTGCTGTCCAGGCCTGTAAAAACCCTGCAAATATTCAAATCACAGAGTAATGATTGGAACGCTAAGAATGAGAATTTGGTTCTGCCCTGATTCTTTTTGAGCATATGATTGGTGTTGAGTCAGCATAGAAATGATCATATTTCCCTTTGCTTTTTAGCATGGGTTGAGGAAGATTTGTCCCTGAAGGTAATAAGCCTTTTATTTATTTTTTTTTATCATGAATTGTTAAACATATCTTATGTGACATATGTAACATTTAAATATTCCGCTTGAAAACACATCTAGCCTGCCACTGAAGTAAGAGAATCTGTTACAAATGAAGGAATAGAAATAATAGAGCTGCTACCATCCGTACCAGGTACGTTACACAAAGTGAATGGACAGAAATAGTGCATGAAAAGCTTGCAGACTTTGCCATCCTAATTTTGTTTTTCCCCCAAGTTGGTGATATGTTTTGATATAAATATGAATGTTATGTTTTTTTAAAAAAAGAGCATTTATGTGTGCCAGAAGAAATCTTTTAAATATAAGTTCAATGAGGTGTTTTCACTTTTGTATTTCAGTGGGATCTCTGTCATAATGATTTACAGAGTAATTATGACATTCATGAGATTTCTGCAGTTTTAAAAATGCTGTTTGAAGAACTGGGTACTCTCCTGCACACCTGTGTGTAATGAGTTCAGTTTTCTCCGCCCACCGGTCTTGTCCCGCCGCTGCGCCAGCCCCAAATAATACACAGAAACTCTGTATTTGATACAATGCTGTTGGTCCGGTTACTTGTTTCTTATTGGCTAGCTCTGGTTTAATTATTAACCCATTTCTGCTGATCTATGTATTTCTCTTACCGGGGAGCCGGCAGGCATACTGCTTTCTCCTGACTCTCCATCTTGGCTCCTCCCTACTACTTCCTCTTTCCTCCTTGTCACGTAGTCCCTCCTATCTAGCTTTCCTATTGGGCAACAGTGCTTTATTCATTAAACCAGTATGAGAAACATATATACATAATGGCATCTCCCATCACCTGTGATCCAAGGCACTTGAGAGGCTCTGACTCATTTTGCTTAGGAGGTTTTAGATTAGTGTGTGCACGTATTTTTTTCCCCCTAAAACTCAAGAAAAGCAATTTCTACTAGGGGGATCCAGTCTGTTTGCTGTCTGGATCTAAAGTGTGTTTCTTTCTTTGCTTTTTTGTTTCTGTGAAATGAGTTCTGTTATTCAGTCACTTATCCTATCAGTAACCACAAATCGCTTGTTACAATGTTACACAATTGACTTCAGGTTTCAAAGCCAAAGAGACTTTTAAAAAGTGTCCTGGTTGCACTTAACAGTTTTTCTTTCTTTCCTGGAAAGTCCTGTTTCTGTTTCACCTCACCCATTAACTCTAGAAAAATCCATCCCTAATATTTTATTTCCATTCTCCAAAACCTCATGGCATTTACTACCAGGACACAGAAATAATTATTGGGTAAAATCAAGAAAAACTGATTATACAGGGGTGACGGAGAAGATTGACAGCTGTAGTGCATGGATGAAGGAGAGACATGGGAGGAACAATTTACAGTTGCAGTGAAAGTCACTGAAATACTGAAATGGACAAAGGAAAGCTGTGGCCAAGGGAGCTCCTTGTGTTAGTCTGAAACTTGGAAGAAGACATTTCTCTGGTAGTTGATGAAAACATTTTCACATGTCAGAAACCATGTGGTCACAGACAAAAGATGTATGAGTTAGCTATTGTATTGAGATGAAAATGCTTAGGAGATTATTTAAAATGTAAAATAAGATAAAAATTAATGCACATTACGAATTTATTCATTTCTAGGGTCTTTGGACATTTGTTTCTTGGGGCTTTATTTGTTTAGAATGAGTGGATGAATTTATGTGCAAATTTTTATGATGTACGTTATTCTCTACTGGCTATGAGTAAATATCTGATGTGCAAGACATTGGATATGTAATCTCCAGGTTGAGAACTACTGCTTTAGACAACTAGAACTATCCAGCTCAATATATACATAAACATACACACACACACACATATATATATACACACACATATATATATATATATAATTGAAATTATTACGGGAAAGTAACAATATAAAGTCATTTAAATAGCCCTTTTTATATATAGACTATTGCTTTATATGAATTCTATGCATTTTAATTAAATAATTGTACTTGTCAACAGAACCAGAGTTAGAATTGATGTCAGTGGAAGAAGATATGTTTGATGAAAGTGAAAATAATCAGCCACTGGTATGAAGATATCTAATTTAAATATCACATAGGATTGTATAGTATTAGCCACATGAAGTCATATTTTTAGATTACTTGACAGAATGAATATTTAATGTTGAAAACATTTTCCCTTGTTATAAAATTTAGCATAGCAAGTTCTAAGATAGCCAGGGCTACACAGAGAAATCCTCAAAACAAACACAAGACAAAACTTCAGAGTATTCTTAAACTCCATACTATTTTATGGCTAAACTTTAAAAAAGTTGTTTGAGAATCTTGCACAATGTGTTTTGATCATATTTATCCAACTCCTTCTAGATTCACCCCAATTCCCTACCCACCTAATTTTGTGTAACCCCCACCCCCCCTTAACCATGCTTTTTTTTTTTTTAATACATTCAATAGAGAATGAAGAACAGAAAGCTTGGTTCACAAATAGCTTGGAGCAGTTGCAAAGGCACAACTAGATGGGTATATGTTATAAAGTTGTAGTTATGTAACTTCAGAAATAAGATTTTTCAGGCACCAATTACCAAGGTCCCATGGCAACCATGTGTGTACTGAGTTTTAAGCTAAGTTAGAAAACCAGACATTAAATTTTAAAAAATGAATTCAGATTGATATTGGCCATTTTTTATAAAACTTTTTTTTCCCTTGAAGAAGTTGCAGTCACAGCTTCTGCATGCTAGGGTAACTCATAGGGAGCTGGAAAAAAGGACTGGAGACGCTCCTCCCAGGCCACACAAATAAGTCTGATTACCTCTCAGTTGTCAGTAATTATAGAAAATCAAGAAGTTTCATAATTTTGACTCATCTAGTCTCAAAGTCTGTTAACAACTAACAACTTCCAGTACTTAGGAATCAATGCATTGTCATTTTAAATAAGAGCCTTTACCATGAGAAGTACAAAGCCACCTGTCACTCCCAAGCACAGTTTCTCTGTACATTTTCTAGATACCTAAGAAATCATCTCTGAGATTTCACAACGATTTACTGTATTCTGTAGTTATTCCTTAAACCATGCAGTGTGCTACCCAGGTGTTCTTAGATGTGTGGTCACCCACTAGGTTCTGGTAGACTTTCTAGGAACTACACTTTGAGTAAACAGACCCTTCTTCATCACCTAGCATTTAACAGTTGTTTAGAGCTCCATGGCTGGGGTGATATGCCCAATTTCACTCTTCATGCTGGGATTTGGTTTGTCTTAGACTTGCACAGTCTTGTGCATGCTGGAGTTCATAAGTGCAGTTGTCCTCGTGGTATCCAGAAGACACTGTTTCCTTGTAGTCAGCCACTACTTCTGTAATGATCCTTGAGCCTTGGATACGGAGGTATGGTAGTGTATACATATACTCTATTTACCAGTGAGTATTTTGCAATCTCTGGAATTTGGCCAGTTGTGAATCTCTGTGTTAATCACTTGTATTTATCTCTTGGATGAGAGTTAAGAGATGCATTGATATTTAAATGTATCAACAAGTCATTAGAAGTTAGTTTGATTACTATGTCTATTTAGCAACATAATAACTCTAGGTTCTTTCTAGGGCCTGTGGTTTATCTAGCCATGGATTCTGCCTGGTGGTTTTAATATTGCTTTGCAACATTAAAACTTTGGTGAATGAGTCAGTTTTTGTTCTAGTACTATGCTGTTTTTATTATTATAGTTTGAGGCAGAACTTGAAACCTGGGACAGTATTGTCTCCCACTCTTTGTTGTTTAAGATTGTTTTGTCTATTCTTGGTGTTTTGTATTTACATATGAAATTTAAATTTTATTTTTCGATTTTCTGAATAGTTGTGTTGGAATACAAACAGGGATTGTGTTCAATTTACAGATTGCTTTTGGTAAGACAGTCATTTCACAACATTAATCCTACCAATCCATGAGCATGGCATCTTCTTCAATTTATTTTTAAGTAATTTGAAGTTTTCATTGTACAAATCTTTTGCTTCATCAGTTAAATTGATTCATATATGTGTATACATGTTGCTGTGAATGGCACCATTTTCTTGACTAATTGTTTTATTTTTGAAATTATAATTACAAATTTCCCCCTTCCCTTCTTTTCCTTCAAGACCTCCTATATATCTCCTTCTTACTTCTTTTCAAGTTTATATCCTTTTTTTAAATTTCTTTTTCCGTTTGTCATGTATAGGAAGACTGTTGATTTAGTTTTGTATTCTGGTACTTCTCAGAATGTATTTATCAGCAGTAGGAGTTTTCTTGTGGAGCCTTTGGGTCCTTTTAGGTATAAACATCACATCAACTGCAAGTAAAGAGACATACCCTTTTAAATGTACATTTTAAATTGTGTTTAGGAGGCCTTATGTGAGTTAATAACATTTATATCATTTCCACCCCTCCTTCTACCCCAACCAGCTCATCCTGTGCCCACTCATACTTCCTCTCATTTCATGCCCCTTCTTTAAATTTTGTTGTTATATTTACACACATTCGTGTACATGTATATGGACATACATACACTCACAGTCTTATTATCCTGTTCTTACTAAGGCTTACTATGCTTTTTGTGATTTCTTCATTATGCTATTACATCTGATATTTTCATTCTATTGTTTAAATATAACATAAATAGAAATTTTCTAACTTACCACTCATTTAAGCATTTTTTCTACCAGTAAACATTTTATATAAAACATGTATGATTTAAGAATTGTTCACATGTACCAAACAACTTGTTTAGTTGTCATGCCAAGCACGACAAGGCTAGGAATTCTTTTTACAGAAAAATGTCTTCTTCTGTCTCTAAGACAGTTTTTGTTATTGTAGGAGTATTCTAAATGTTAAATGTTGTACTATAGCAAGTGTTTTTATTTTTCAACAAAATTTGTCTAAATATGTATATTTTAGAATTCTCCTTTTTGTAGGAAATACAAAGTAGAGTTAGCTATTTAGAAGTTAATTCTTATTAGAATATGCAGACCAGTCATTATTGGGTACACACATTTGTTTCTCCTGACCTTCCATGATCTGTTTATATGTTCAGCAAACATATGACAGAAAGGGATTAAATTAATATAAATAACATATACAACATCCCCCATTAAGTCTTTTACTGTACAGCTTACTCTTTATTTTCTGGTTTAATTGCTTTTGGAGCTGGAAAGTCAGACATCTTCGAGGGCAGCAAGGAGATATTTATATAACTTATTGACATTTATTTTTTAAAACAGAGTGTCTTGGAGCATCTTCCGCAGATGAGTGTTGGCCATTTACCTGATGCAGGATATGAAATGGGAAAAATTAATACAAACAGACAAGAGAAAGGTAGGAATTGCATTTTACTAAAAAGAGCTACGTGGCAGCTTAAGACTGTGTTTGATAGATGTCATTTGCTCTGTAATGGCACCCATCTCTACATGCAACATCACATACCCATACAATTGCTTCACAGACACTATTCCCGTAATTTACCCAGAAGTCAATACCCTACTATGATGTTACTGTTTGATGAGTTTAGCAGATTAAAGAATCAGTTCATTCAAAACAAACAGCAACCCAAGCACCTTCACTATAGTAAGATGTGCACCAGAAAAATGGCAAACACAAGCAACTTAAACATCATTCATTTTATAGTTTTCTCAAATGACAAGTCTATTTTTCCAATGATGCAAACCTATTTATAAATTATTTCGTTTAGCAAAATTTGGTTGACATCGCACACTGATAAATTTATTCCTAGAAACATTCCACCAGTTATGGTCTGAATAGTGTTCATCTTGCCCCTGTAACTTCTTATGAAAATTCTACCTCCATTTATGCATGTATTGTGCACATTCATCCTCCAATCAAGTTGATGACTTGTCTTATTGAAAATGTTAGATGCTAACATTTTGAAATGAAAGTGTCCAGAAAAGTCTTTTCATGACATGTGTCCCACCTTGCATCCTTAGACATCCTTCAGTCTTCCATTTCCTGTGAAATTACTAGACAGCTGGTAGTATGATTTCTCACAGTCTGCTTTTAGATAGATTCCTATTAAACACAGTACTTCTCTCGTTTCTTCCTTTCATGTGCTTGTACTTTCTTTACTGATGTCTGACTAATCTCATATTTTAAGTATCAAACAGGTATTATGTTCAGAAAAAGCTCTCCATATACCCATTATTTATATTCCTTTATATAGGGTATCAGCACCTAATAAGAATACAATAAATACTATTGAGTAAAATCAAATAAAGGCTGTTTACACTGGAATGACTTAAAAGATAGTTCCCTCCAGGGTAGATGAAAAGGAATAAACATGTAAGTAAACAATTTGCAGGTCTGATGGTAAAGATAAAGTTGAAAAAAAATCAATAAAATAATCAGACCCAAGAAAAGACTTATGTATTTATGTGGGAAGAGTCAGAACTCAGTACTTTATATGACAAACTAAGTATGAAAACATGAAACAAAACTATAAGAATAGTGGACAGAAATTAAGTTGAATATAAGGGACAAGGTGGCAGAGACAAAGGTGTGAAGAATGATGGAAATTTTGTTTAGAAAATAGTGGGTTATTTAAAAGCTAATAGTATGAAAAACTCACATGTGTTTTATTTATTTCTGTGATATTTTTAAGTTGAATGTGTGGGTGAATCACAAAAATGCTTTTTACATCTAGAATTGTTCAGACTCTAGTTGCTCCAAATACTGAAGGTGAATGGAAGCAACACTTTAAGAACTGCTTATTTAGCTAATTGTTAAGCTGCATACAAATTAATTGGGAAAATCCAAAATGCAATTCTTATGAACACAAATTTTAAGGTACTTCCATCTATTTCTATAAAGACTATTGTTTTATGTACAGTGTACTAATATTGTTTAAATATATTTAATAGTAGAGCCAGACTTAGAAGTAACATCAGAGGAAGATCACAATGAACTGGATGACAGGAGAAATATCCAGTCATTGGTATGTAAATATAAATTGAGTTTCTGGTATAAAAGTTTTTGTTGTTCAAGAATGTTGCATGAACCAGGTGGTGGTGGTGCATACCTTTAATCCCAGAACTTGGGAGGCAGAGGCAGGTGTAGCTATGTGAGTTCAAGGCTAGCCTGGTCTACTGAGTGAGTTCCATGTCAACCAGTCCTGTTACAAAGGGAAACCCTGTCTTGAAACATAAAACCAACAAATGTTGCATGGATGGACTAAAGGAAATTATAGTTCAGACAAAGAAGAATTGATGGCTTATAATTTAATACTTAGTGTCTTAAAGAATATTTTGCCATCTTATAGAACATACGGCTAACATTTATCCTTAGACAAACAATTTTCCCTGTGTTTATCAACCCTATAAGCAGCATATAACAAATACTGTCCATATATATTTTTTATCTAGTAAGAACCACAACGTTTACTCTTAAGTTTGTGTCTGTGTAAGTATTAGCAATGTAGTAGTAATAAGTCCATCATGAAGTTGCTTTGGTCCTGGTGTTTCATGACAACAACAGTCACTCTAACCAAGACAATACTGAATAATTCTTGTTATTGAGGATCAGCTAGGTATTTAAACACCAAATGTCCTAGGTGTCCTATTTTCCAATGAGAATAGATAAAGAATACCCAGCAAGCTCTTTTAAATCACTACATAAGAATCAAATGAGAAAAATAACAATTTACACAGCATTTGAAGGGGTTTGTAGTTTGTAGTTTGGGTAGGGTTGAGGGCAGCGGTGCAATTTTAAGTTTTGGGAAGATTTTTCTGTGTGAGTAGTAACTTCTAATGAAATGGTAGAGATAAGAGCAATCAAATGAGATCTAATCAAGATGACTATCTGGGCAGGAGGAGCATGTATCATATCTTTTCTTTAGTTGGCTTTTACCTTCCATAACCAGGAAGCAGGGCATGGGATAATCTTCACAATAATCCCTTTACTCTTGTAGAACATATGTAGAGATGTGCAACTAAGGGAGTTGTGCATTCAGTCCCTTAAAACTCAGCATCATTGTGTTGGAAGTTCTCCTTCATTGCAAAAGGCTGTATAGCAGTATGTAGCATTTGTACAACATTGTTTAGCCATTCTATAGAGAATTTTGTTTTGCAAATTTGTTCTTTAAGTGTTTTAAAATTAGCATATAGAGTAAGAGGTTTCATTATGGTGTTTTCATATGTAGCTCAGGCTGATCTCTCACTCACTCTCACCTCAGATCATACCCTCCCATCCTCAATAGTCCCCCTGTTTGCTTTCTCATATATTCTATTACCTTTCCCATGTCCTTTCCGTAAAGCTCCGCCCCATCCTGAGGTCCTCTTCCTAGCTTCATAAACTTTGCCTATACCCTTGCAGAATACTCAGGTCTAATTATTAGATGCCAAGATTTGCTTATGAAAGCATATCTGACATTTGTCTTTTTTGAGTATGGGTCTCCTCACTTAACATAATAACTTTCAAATAAATTTATTTTCTTGCAAACTTCATGACTTTCTTTTCTTTATGGTTGAATGAAATTCATTTTTGTATTTATACGGCGTTTTCATTGATTGGTTTCTCTCCACTTCTCCCTCTGTGAGAGCTGAATTTTCACCTTCAGTTTAGGTTTCTAGCAATATAAACTGCCTTGCTGTCTGGATTTTGTGGTGATGGAAGACTGGAGTTCTTGGATATGCTTCCTTTGGTGAGATGTGCCTCAGCATGAGCATATTGGTGTATTTTGGGGTGCACTTGGGCTTCTTTGTAGAGAAAGCCTTAGCTAGCTAGTTTTATTCCTGTTTTCTATACTTTGCTCATTTCTCTGCTGGTAGCTTTTTCATCACTTTGTCCATCCTGTCTCATTGTTGTGGCTTCCAATGTGCCATCTTGCATCTGCTCCCCAATTTGTCATTTTAAAACCATTTTCTCCAGTCAATAAGCAATTATAACAACAACAGAACTACCACCAAAACACAGACTTTTACCCTTAATTTAAGAAATTTCATCTTATGTACAGTTCTGATTGTGCTAACAATCCTTTGTGACACATGCTATGTCTGATTGTAAAACACCTGCTGCCATTTTTTTTTATTTAGAAACAATCATGCTACATATCAATTCCCCGTTCCCTCTCCCTCCCACCTTCCCATGTCCTCTACCAACCCCCACATCATTTAGGGGAGGGCCTAGGCCTTCCTTTGTGTATCTGGGCTGAAATAGCATCCCTCCATAGGGAATGGACTCCCAAAGTCCATTTGTGCACTAGGGATACATACTAGTTCCACTGTTAGAGCACCCATAGACTGCCCAGGCCTCCTAACTGGTACCCACATTCAGAAGGTTTGGTTCAGTTCAATGCTGGTTCCCCTGCTTTGAGACTGGGGTACCTGTGCTCTCACTAGGTGAGGTCAGATGGTTCTATAGGTTTCTCCAATGTGATCTTGACTTCTTTTGCTCATCTCTTCTCTCTCTCTACAACTGGATTCCCAAGGTGTATGGCTCAGTGCTTAGCTGTGGGTATTTGCTTCTGCTTCTATCAGCTACTGGATGATCATCACAGGCGGCCTCTCCACTCCTGCCTAGATTCTTACTTGGGCTCATCTTTGTGGATCTCTGAACATTTCCCTAGTGCCAGATTTCTCTTTAGACCTATACTGGCTCTCTCTATTAAGGTAACTCTTTTCTTGCTCTCCTCTATTCCCCCTGTCTCAGTCTTTCTGATCCCTCTTGTTCTCCTCCCCGCTTCTCTTCTCCCCTTCTCCCCCTCTACCCCTGTGCTCCCAATTGCCTGAAGAAGGGAAAGGGACAAGAACTCCTGCTACCATCTTAAGTACCCTGGATATTCAATGTTGTGTTATATCAAGTGCATTTATGAGAAGTTGTTTAACTATGTATTTTTTGAAAAAATTCTCTATTTTTGTGGAGAATGCAGACTTTGATATACAAAACTAAATTCCTGACTAAAATATATAACGAATCTGTTATTGTCTACTTTATGTTCTTTTGGCCTTCCATGCTGCTTACATAGTCAATGACCACATGAAGATAAAAGTTAGAATGGATTGGAAGAGCATGTATAAGGTTCTGCTTCTAAATATTTTAGTTTTTCATAGTGCTTCTTTTTATTCAACTGTATGTGATTTTTAAAATATGAAATTTGGCACCTTCATGAAATGGATTGGGTAGACTTTGCACAACTCATGATCTCTACTTATTATAACAGAGAATCTATGAGGATGTTCCAAATATATCTGGCAATGCTTCTGTGGCAGCAGATTCAAGAAGAGAAAAGACAAGTGGACAAGCAACAGGTAGGAAGTACATTTTATGAAAAAGACATTTGGTGTGATGCTTGTTTATGACAGGAGGCTGAAGTTTTAATGACAGTTTGAGAGTATCACTAAGGATGATGATGAATTGTGAATTATATTATATTTCTAGGTTCCTACTACCAATGATATGCTAATAAGTTATAAAGAGGTGAGAAACATGGGGAATGAGAAAAATAGTGACGATAGGGTATAAGTAAAGCATGTCAGGTGTATGAAGTAAAGGATTAGTATATGAAGCAAAGGGTCAGTGTCCTAGTTTTCCTCTGGTCTGTGATGAAGATAAATGCCTAGAGGCATGAAGGACAATGTTCACATTGAGAGTACCCTCCCATGTAATTCTGGGTTGTGCCAAGTTAATAATTAAATTGAGAAAATAAAAAAGTTGTGCAACAAAGAAAACTAATGTATTTAACTTGGGAGGAACATGTGACTTGAGTGCCTAGAATTCAAGATTATCTAAAACTAGAACAAAGTATCCCACTTTTCCTGCATTTTTCATTGGTGAGAACCCATCAAGGATTTAAATACTTGGGTTTTCAAACCTACATCTTATTACCAAAGGACAATGTAACTATAACAGTTGACCCACTGTAAATGTTTATATTTTTGTCCATTTGTAAGCACCACCACTTCAGCAGGTTGTGCTCTGTAAGTGAAAATTCAAAGATTGGAAATAAGAAACTCATGGGATTAGATTAAAAGTCCATTATAAAGTTTGTGACTGCTTATATGATCTCAGTTGGGGTGATGACAGTGTAAATTCTTAGAGTAGGTTCCAAATAGATAAGTATTTGGGACAGAACTGTGTTGACCACCACTTGTCAAACTTTGATGAATCATCTATTTTGGCCTTGCTAAAGATACACTCTGATGAGTCATAAATGGGTTTTGCATTTGTGATTAGTTTTCAGTTGGTGCAGATGCTGCAGGAAGTCACAGTGTATGATGAGTAGTGAGGACAGAAACTTAGATTAAATCTGTAGAGATAATTATTGTGGAAAGCATAATAGGCCCAAAATAAGGTGTGTATTTTGCCGTTACTTATGAGTTTGTTCTTATCCAGAAATAAACAAATATGTATGGAAACTGAATAATTCTACATGATTCTTAGGATAGTAAGTCAGTGGGGGGGGACTCTATATGGTTATAAAATACAATTCTTTAGTTATTAGATATTCTTGCTAAACAAAGATGAAAGAAGTAGTCATAATAATCAATGAACTAGCATAAAATTGAAATAAGACACACAGGTGCTTTGTTAAGAAAGATGGTCTAGATAAGAGAGAAATTGTCTAGAAGGCATAAAAGTACATGCTGAGGAGACTTCAAAGGACTCAATTTCGATGCTATCAGACTGTTTTCATTTAAATCTTATTACACTGTTGTGTGCCTGCATACATTATTGGAATCAGAATGGTGTTAACCACCTGGAGGTGGTATTAACCAAGCAGAAATCATGGAGAAACATGGAGAAACATACTGCTTACTGCCTTGTTCCTCATGACCTGTTCAGTTTGCTTTCTTATACAACCCAGGACTATCTGCCCAAGGGTAGCACCATCCACAGTGGGCTAGGACCTCCCACACCAGTCACCAATTAAGAAAATTCACAACAGGCATGACCACAACCCAATCTTATGGAGGCAATTCAGCTATTTAGGTTCCCTCTTCCCTGGTGACTCTAGTTTATATTGACAAAACAAAACAAAAAACAAACAAAAAGACAAACAAATCCCAACAAGCATGGCTCAGAAGTCTTTTACATTATATACTGTTCTATTCTACAATAGTTGTTTAGTTGATAAGAACTCAGGGTCATCATTTGCTCCTCTGATTAGGGATCCCTTTCCCTGCTATATTCATTGCATAATAATCTCATTTTAAAAATCTGGGCAAGTTTAATTAAAACTGGATTTAACTTTTTCTTCAGTGTATTTTTTTTGTGTATGTTACGATCCCAACTAGACACAAAAGCAAAATAAGCAAATTCAAAACCTGAAAAGCACAAATGTAAACATCATTTACAAAGGAGGCCAGAGGGGTTGAGTTTCATTCTAATTCTGCATGAATCCACAGTTGATTATTTATCACCATTGACTATCTCTTCGGCTTTTTTAGAATCTTTGAAGGAATATCGACTCTTGATGGTAATAGCTTTTATGTTTTCATTTTGAATAATTTACATCACACTAAGTGATATATATAGTTAATGTTCAATTGTTCCTTCAAGCCCTTTTCAGGATATCAATGGAATGAATGATTCTGTTCTAGATAAAACAGCAGAGATGAAGGAAGTACGGATTATACAATCATGTACATTTTGCACTACCAGTCAGTTAATCTGGAAAGACGTACTCTAAATATTACAAATCCATATGGATTTTCAGACTTCTCATTCCTATTCCCACCTTCCAAGATTGGATGAGATTGCAGGAATTGTTCTAAATAACACAGTGTTATTGTTGGCATAGATTTTACAGAAGACATTTACAAGTTGAAGAGACTGGTTTGGAGAAGCCACTTGAATTAATTGTTTCTACATTTTTATGTCTCAACATACTCATGGGTTCCTTCAGCATCAGATAATGTTCTCAGAAAATGACAAAGTTAACAAAAGCATTTTACACAGAGTAGGCTGTTCATTTTTTTATCCCTTCATACCCTTTGTCAGTTAATGAGCAACATCTAACTCTCCATGGAACAATGCTTGTAAGTCTATTCACTTAATACAATTTGTTCTTTACCAGGAACTGGTAATTTTATAACTCAAAATTGTCAGGAAACTTCTACTCAGTCTGGGGCTGCTTCAGCTTAAATTTACACTGTTGCCTTCTGCTAAGTCATTTCCACCCACTTACTCAAGGCTCCCTCACACTGCTATAGTAGGGTGCTCCATGCCCATATCAAATGATAACACAGACCAATTTGAAAAATATCAGTGTTCAAGTCTCTTGTAATTACATGTGTTTTCCTAATATAACTTCCACCCAAATCTCTGCATTGAGCCGTTCTTTGTTTACTCACTTCTCTGATGTTTATAGTGATGATGATGTTATCCACTCACCATGTTGCTACACCAGCTCATTCCCCACTTTCAGTATGCCACTCTTTTGCTGTTTGTTGTTCCAGTGTCTGCATAAATCATTCTTTAACTGTGAGATCAGGCATTAGGTAAAATAAATCCACTCAGCTCTTTTAACTTACAGTTTTCAGGATCATGATAATTAATTGTTCAATATAGTAATTATTGCTGTTCATGAAAAAATAATGAACAAGAACACCAATGTATCCCAGGAGCAAAATGAATCGACATATAAAGAAATAATTTACAATGGAAATGATAAAGATACAAAGGAAAAATGAGCAAAAGTACCAAGGGGAATGCCATGGGAAACAAATGTAAGAGACAGCCTATGACACTGAGCATTTAGCCTGGGGGAATAGTGTAGTTAACTGCACCTCAGAGCAACTAAAAATCAGTGTCGTCTATAACCAGTCAGGTTTACTTGACATAAGTTCTGTAATTATGCCAAATAAGTAATCCAAGAGGAAAATGCACAATAGATTATGAATTGTGACTCAATGAAGAAAAGTGTATGGGGTTACTGTAAATGTTTCCATATATATTTTCAATTTGGTTCCAATGGTGAGTTCATTGGCATTTAGTGGAGTGATTGTTACTGACTCTTTGAGATGTGTGTATGTTGTGTACATGATACACTTGACTGTTATCTAACTAATGCACAAAAGCTTTTGATAGTTAAATAAGTCAGCAGTTACCCTGTTGAAGAGTAAATCAATTTGAAGATTCTAATTGGAAAATTAGAAGTCTAATTAGTGTTATTATTAATGTTTAATTTTTCTGCATGTAGAATAATTATGATCATATTATTTAAATGTTTTCTTGGTTTATTTTAATTGCATATATGGACTTGTCAGGAGGACCAGATATAAAATTGACATCAGAGGAAGAACCAGATAGTCATAGTGACTTTGAAAAGAATCCATCACTGGTATTTAAGTATTTAAATTTGAATTACAAACTGATGTTTCTCATTGTAAAATAATGTAAAATGTGTCAGAGAAAGTTACCTTTCAAACTGGTCTAGAGTCAATAGATCATGACTTAATATTTAATTTTAGCACCATTTACTAACAGAATACAGAATTTTTTTATAATTTAAAAGTAACAGATAACCCTAATCCTTGGATATCTATGAAAAAAAATTCATTTTAATGTTGTCTTCCATTTTTATAGCCTACTTGCTTACTTAAAGACTATATTAAATTTGAGACTTATAACTAAGCACTTTAAAGTTTGAATGATTTCAAGGGATCACCCCAAAATTTGATGTATTAGAAAGGGCTATTATTCCTAGTAACTAAAAAATTGAGGTTTCCTATGACTAGTTAGTACTATCAATGTGTAAGTTTTACACATTTGGTTCACAGTAGTATCTCTGTTGTGGGAGACAACACAGGTATACACAGTTGTTTCACTGCCTATAAAGAGAAGGTATTTTCCGTTATGAACAGTGGTGCTATTCTCTACACAGTAACCTTTAAACTTATCATATTTCAATAAAGGGAGTCAGAAACTATACTAAACATGTATCCAGTGACTTTGCTGGATACTATGATGTATCATGGCTAAAGAATGCAAAATGTTTATGAGTTTCATGTCAGTGTTTAGATTTTTAGTTTGGAGAAAAGTATTGAAAAGCATATGCCATTTGAGTATATTAGTGTTTCAGGCCTCACAGCAGAAACTTTACTTGTATCACCTTGAATAATTTCAATTACTGATTATCAGCTAAGAACTTGGCAATTGGGCTCTCAACATATAAAATTATGACAAAGCAAAAATAGAACCAGTAAACATTAACTTCATATAATGAATACCTTTGATGTCAAGATAGAGAAGATTGATGTATTCAGATGTGATGGCGCATTCTGGTAGGCTATCCTGAAGAGGCAGGGGTGGGAAAAGATTGATGTGTCTTATTTAAATTTATGATTGGAATGACAGTGTGAACAGAAACAAGAGCTCAGAGAATACATTTTCAAGATAAAAAAAAAAAACCTCTTATGAAGGGACTGTTTTTTTTTTATTTCTTTCTTGATATCTTCACCATTTGAAGGCTACTAATTTTTGTATGTTAAATTTGAATCCTAGGACTTTTGTTAATGTGTTTATCAGCTTTAGGAGATTTGTTTGATGGCTCTATATATCATTTTTTGAAATATGTTTTTAATTGAAATAGAATTGCATCAATTCCCATCCTCCTTTCCCCAGAGACCCTCTTTCAAACCCATCCCATGACTCCCCATTCTCAAACTGATAACCTCTTTTTATTTATATTGTTATGTACATACATGTGCATGTATATGTATGTAAACACAAATTTATATAAGGAAAACATGCTGAGTCATCTTTGTTATAATACATTTTCAGTACATATCTAGTTTTTATTTTTAAATTAAGCTTTAAAAATTGCACACATATATAATGTATTAATATGATATACACCCCATTTCTTTCCCTCCAATTTCTTCTCTCTTAAATTTAACAGATTTTAAAATAGAAAACAGGTTTTGCTGGAAAGTGATTAGAAAATATAACTGATTCCTAATGCTTATTTTAACAGAACATCTGTAAGCAAGTTCACACACAGAATGTTGGTTATCTATCAATGGCTAAAGATCAAAGAGGAGAAAAAATCGTGACGTGTGTGGAAAAAGGTGAGGACTCTTAAATAAAAAGTCCATTGATAGAGTATTTGTTTTAGACACAAAGAGTTATATATACCCCAAACAAGAAAAGTTACTTCTTAAACATTTACTGAGTAACAAGATATATTAAGTTGCAGTGATCTATATATCATTGACAAGTTTTAAAACAGGTTAAATGAAGTATATCAAAAAGGGGGAGGTGTTTAATGCCTAAAGGAGGTTAGGAAGTAAGTGGAGGTGGCGAAGAGTGGGGACAGGTTAAGAAAGATCGAAAGAGTAGAGAGGAAATGAAGGGAATGAAGAAATGGAGCATGCAGGAGGGCGGCATGGGATTCATACAAAATCATGGGTAAGAGATTGTTCATGTGAAAACATTATAAAGTGAGCTGCTAATGCAGAATTGTGTGTAAGAGGTTGAACGATGAGTTCCTATAGTCTTGTTCCCTCACTTTGGGGAAGGCATGAAAAGATTTGTCACATTAGATCCTTCTTCAGTGCTCTATCGTGTGTAATTGACATCTGTTCTCAGCTGTATATATTGTTAATGTCTGTCCAAAGTGTTCTTAAATCCCAATATAATACCATATGAGCCTAAAATAGCATCAGAGAAAGCACAAATAAGGAGCTTCAGTAACAGGTTGATTAAGAGTGTTGATCAAGAGGTTCAAAGAGAACATTCCAAGGGTTAGGATGCTGGTTCCAACTGGGAGAAATGGTGGGAAAAATCACACTAGAGTTAAGTTAGAGTAAAGGAACTTTGGAAGAAACATGTTGGCTAGAGATTCTCACAGTTCCATGATCTGCCTGTTGAGGACAACATTTGAAGTAATTTTGGTTCAACTTTTCTGAAATTCTTCATTTCCAGGAAGGCGTCTAGTGGTGCAGTTGGTGTTCTAAATACAATGAGCAGCCAGTGTGTGTAGACTTCCCATTAAATAAGTTGAGAAATATCTTTTGGTTATTAGTTTGAGACATCTAAGAAAACCTAAGTAGTATTATAATTTCTGAGAATGAACATAGAAATGCCATTTAGAAAATGTAATTCAATGAGTTTTTTTGATTACCAATCTCAATTCTATATTTAACATGTTTGAGGGTTTAATTTCTACAAGTTTATCAACACCAAATGAAAAGGAAGGGAACTTGTAAGATAAATTTGCTAAAAGAATGTAATAATATCCTGGAAGACAGAAAGTATCTTATTTTGCTTTTTATTGTTGTGATAAACATCATGATCGCAAGCCACTTGAGGAGGAAAGGGTTTATTTGTCTTATACATTCCTGTTCACTGTCCATTGAGGGAGGCAGGAACTGTAATAGAAGCCATGAAAGATTGCTGGTTATTGACTTGCTTCTCCTGACTTACTCAGTTTGTTTTATCCTATACCCCAGAGATGGCTCTACTCACAGTAGGGCTGGGATGTACTATATCAAATCCTTAGTGACGAAACTGTCCCACAGGCTTGTCTGAAGGCAAATCCAATGGCAATATCTTATCAACTGAGGTTCTCTCTTCTCAGATGACTTTGTCTTGTGTCTTATGTTGACTAAAAACTAAGCACCACAGGAAGAAAAAAAAGTAACATGCAAATTTAGAGCTAATGATAAGGAGCTATTGAGAGACCATCTCAGGAATCTTTGATATATGTTGATTCAAATGAAAATGAAATTATTGCCATTGTATGAATTATTGGCAAGGAGAGTTATGTGGTGAACTACAACACTCAGTAATCTCCATAAATGTAAGGCATCAAAGATGCAGATTACAATGATTTTAGGGATTCAGAAGAGATTAATTTAAATGTAGAATCATCATCTTGTTTTGAAATGATAGCTTCTTTTGTAAGATTGTTAATCAATGGAATTCTTGTCTATTTCCATGGTGACCAAGTAGTATAATTGTGAAAAAGGACATATATAGTTATTTATTGAATATGTAACATCTCTAACATTAAGTGCTGCTCTGATTTGAGAAGTAGCAAATTAGTACTTTATAATTCTTTTGTGACAACTTTGTTTTTTGCTCAACAATCATATCTCACAAAGTGATTTTTAGTTAACGATTTTTATAGTTGTTGGTATACACATACATTTTAAGGTATATTCACACTTGTATCTTCTCTTTCCTTGTAGTTTAGGTTCACATATCTTTTGAAAAGCATTTACCAAAAAAGACACATATATTGTAAAAAGAAATTGAAATCTGAATGTCTACATGGTAGTCTACATGGGTGTCTGATGAGGAGAATCATTATGCAATGTCATTCTACATGTGAATACCCAAATTATCAAATGTGAAAACTATAATATATGAGTCATTTGCCTCTTGGAATTTTTATGACTGACTGGTGGTACAAAAAGTCTAATATGATGTATAGAACATGAAGTTATAGTATTATTTGAATCTTTCTGAAATTGTTTCATTAGAAATATATGCTGACCCATTCAAGCATCTGCTTTAATAAATGAAATGCCACCTCATAGTCATGATTTCTTCCTGAGATCACAGATTAGTTTTCTTTCCATATGTTAAAAATCTCACATTGGAATATGTGCCTTTCCTATTAAGTTATATTCATCTGGACCATAATCATATTATTTTGGATAATTTTAAGTATAATTATAGCTATAGTTTAATTTTGCTCATGGGATTTTTGTCACGATCCTTAGTTGTCTAAAATAAACAAAATAAAAATTCATCAAAACAAAATAAAATAGCCACTACCAAGTTATCCATGATGATAATTTTCATATTAACTTTTTAAAAATATGAACAGCCAATATTGTCATATTTGTGTTTAATCGATTGTTTCTTTGACACTTCAGAACTTTCTAAGGAATGTCCTCAATCAAAGGTAGTTACTTTTAATTTTATTCTTAATTATTAATTTCATATTCTATAATCTACACTAGAGCCATTAAATGTTTTTTTCTAAATTCATACAGCCTACTATTATAAGGGAAGAATATGTTCCAATGCAGGCCTGGGATATGACTCCAGTGCAACCGTTCTTAGCAGGTAAATTTTGTAATATTAATTTCCATGGGAGGAATATCTCAAAATGTTTGAGGTGCTAATAGTCTGCTCATTACTAGTCCATATTTTCCAAATTTTTGTTGGAAAATTTGAAGTAAATAATGCAGTTCTTACTGTTAATCTGAATGCTTCAAGAAAGTTGTTTGCTACTTCAAGGTAATTTGTTTAAAGTTGATGACAAATCATGTATATCTTATGTGTCTTTATTGTGGTGATATATTTTCCTAAAAATACCTCATGCTTTAAAAGGGGGTAAAATTTTGCCATAACCTGCAGCTAGTAAATAATATGCCTTGAGATCATTTGAGACTATATATTCAATCTACTGCCCTACTGTGTACCCAGCCTGTACCAAGAAATGTTGAAACAACATGTGGATAAAGATAAATAACATCTCTGTATGGTTTCAAGTGCTTTTGGGGGTCAGTTGAGGTCAGTACAGTAAATTCTCTTATAAAATACTATTAAGGACATCTATAAAAATGTATTCCACATTCCTTTACCATACTGAGAGTTTCCTGTGCTGTTCAATGAATCCATAGCAAAGCCCTTTGTTAGGTATAACCACAACAAACAGGAAACAGGGAGAGAGTGATCAGATAGGAACAATACTCACACAGGTCAGGCAATGTGTTAGTTAGGTTTTCTGTTGCTGTGAAGAGACACCATTACCATGGCAACTCTTTTTTTTTTTTTTTTTTTGGTGGTATAACTTCATTTATTTTTTTTAAATTAAAGAACATTAAAAAAATTATGTCATATACCTACCAGTTCCCCTCCCCCTCTTTTCTCTTTCCCTCCCCTCTTCTATTTACTCCCCTCCTCATCTACTTTTCCACCATCTCCATTCAGAAAGAGACAGGCCTCCCATGAGCTTGCACAAACAATGGCACATCAAGTTGAGGTAGGACTGAACTCTTCCCCTTATGTTGAGGTTGGGCCAGGTAATCCAGGATGGGGAACAGGTTACTAAAAACCAGCCAAGCGACCAGACCATGGTGACTCTTATAAAGGGAAATATTTAATTGGGTCTGGCTTACAGTTCAGAGGTTTAGCCCATTATATTCATGGAGGGAAATATATCAGTGTGCAGTCAGATATGGTGCTGTATTGGCAGGCAACAGGGAGAGACTCTGTGTCATAATGAGTGTAGCTTGAGCATATGAGACCTCAAAGCCTGCCCCCACATTGACACACTTTTTCCAACAAGGCCACACCTCCCGATAGTGCCACTCCCTATGTGCCAAGCATTCAAAACACGAGTCTATAGTGGCCATTCCCATTCAAACCACCACAGGTAAGCAACAGGGCATGTTAGTTACACATAATAGACAGACTACAGATATGTCAGTAATCACAAATTACAGAGGGAAGTCAGGGAGAGAAGCTGAAAATTAAAATTTGGGTTCATTCTTGGTTAAACTATTCCAGGAAGAAATTCCTGTTTTCTGGTCTTAAAGTGACACTGGTACATTTAGTGCCCTGTCTGAGGTTTCTCTAGTCCATAATCAATCTAACAATCTTTCTGTCTCCTCTTCCACGTAGTTCCCTGAACCTTGAGGGGAGGGGTTTGATGAAGATAACCCAGTTAGGATTGAGTGCTCAAAGATTTCTTACTCTCTACACATTGTTCAACTGTAGATCCCTGTATTATTTCTTCTCTACTGCAGCAGGAAACTTCTCTAATGGTGGTGGAACAAGACACTGATGTGTGGGTGTAGCAAATGTTGTCAGGAATAAATTTATTGCTATGTTTCTGTAGCAGAACAGTAGTATTTGGTTTTCCTTAGGTCCTTGCCCCATTGAGTCTCAGATTCTTGCACCTGAGCAGTGTTGGCCATGGCTTCCATCTTGTGAATCTCAATCAGATGTTTGTTCCTTATCACCACAATGTTTGTATCACTATTGTACCAGTGTTATATTACTTTGGATTGTGCTCTTATTTTTGGGAAACTCTAAGTTTATTTTTAGATATTGTGCTATTTTTTCAGGTGATGTCTTTGAATTGTTCTTATCTTGGCTTGGTCAAACATGATAATGTTAAAACCCCACCAAACTTTAACATTAAAATACCCATTTTCATTTATGAGGATTAATTTCCACATGAATTCTACATGAATGTATATAGCCAATGTCAGGTTTATGTAAAAATTTATTATTCTTCTTTTTGACATTTTTAGATACCCCTAAAAACTATCCTTTATTGAAGGTAATTATTCTTTTTTTTTCCTGCATAGTTAGCCTCATCTTTTATGACATGTCAGGAGTTAATAAGTACCTTATTTCTAAACACATACAGCCTACTATTGAGGAAAATTATTCGGATCCAAATGAAGTCACTGATATAAAGAATGGGAAATGGTTCCAAGAAGGTGAGTAATATTAACAATTTCTTTGAAACAAATAAATATAAATGCTTGAGATGCTTAAAATTTTTACTCATGTGGTCTCCAAATTTCATTAAGGATTTGATCTAAATGCTGTAATATCATTGCTAGTGTTAAATATTTCAAAATTAACTAGTTAAAAGCTGAAAGGAATGCATCTGATCTCTAGAGAGATATAGGCAATCAATGACTATTGAGAGATGGTGAATCAGTTTCTTCTAGGGACAAGTTCCCTGGTGTGTTATCCAATCCAAAATCATCAGTTCTAAACACATCTACATATAAGCAATACTAACTGGACACAGTAGGTTGCATATATATGTATGAATGAGTGTGTGTGTATAACAATGATAATTAAAGAACATGAATTTGAGAGGAGGTAGAAATACAGAAGAAGTTTAAGTAGGGGAAGAAAGGATGAACATGATCTATGAATTTTCAAAAAATTAAAAAAATTTACAAACTAAAGAAAAACCCAACATGTGATATTAAATATAGTCAACATGTGTGTGTTTGAAAAAAATAACATTTTTTTTGTGCTATGATTCTTTTTTTTTTATGCATATAGAGTATTTTTTATTTAATTTTATATAACAAAGTCCAATTAAATGAAAACAAACATTTATACACAATATTTGGGAATTTGGGCGTCGTTCTTTCCAAACTACTTCCTGCTGGTAAGGGGCGCTGTCTTGGGGGATTCGAAGAAGATTCAGATATCCTAGCTGTAGTCTGTAGGGCTGTTTTGTCCAGCTGTTTGGAATGTAGGATCAGCTTGTACTCTGTTTCAGGCGGTCTGGTGTGATCAAACCACATTAGTCTGGAAGGAATCCACATCTTTTCATTTTCTGTGGAAACAAAAATAGAAATACTTTTCCCCAGTAACTTGTTCTTCAACTTAAATTTTGGAGTCAAAGCTTTTTTTTTTTTTTTTTTTTTTTTTTTTATTATTTTACATGTCGATCCCAGTTCCCTCTCCCTCCCTCCCTCCCTCCCCCCAAACCCTCCCTCCCTCCTTCCCTCCCTTTTGCCCTCTCTACCCTCTCCCATGCACTCTAAACACCCTCCCCTCCCAACCCCCACCACAATACAATATGTAGGGGAATGCCATCCAGTTGGGGTCATGTAGATCTGACAGGTCCTGTGAAGTAGGGACTAGGGCTTCTCTCCTATCTCTAGAATAAGGCAGTTATCCCTCTATGGGGGATATGTTTGCAAAGTCCTTTTGTGCACCAGGGATACATCCTGGCTCCACTGTCTGAGGTCTCTTAGACTGCTCAGACCTTCTGGCTGAGACCCATATTCAGGGGGGTCCGAGTCAGACCCCTGTTGGCTTCCCAGCTATCAGTCTAGTGGCCCTTAGCTCCTCCTTGTTCAGGTAAGCTGTCTCTATGTACTTCTACCGCATGGTCTTGTCCTCTCCATCTGCTTCTGGGTTCTAGTTTGACTCAGTGTTTATGTATGGGTGTTTGCTCCTGTTTTCAACAGGCATTAGTTGAGGACTCCATGGAGAAGTTAGTTGTTGATCTCACTCTCCGGGAAGGGCATTTATGATAGCCTTTCCACGGAAGCTGAGATTGTTAGTTGGGAGCAGTCTTGTAGTTCCCTCGACCTTTCTTTGTGTTCAACTTTATCTTCAAACCAATATTGGCTCCCTCTTTTATGTTCTCTCTCTCTGCCTCTGTCTCTCTCTCTCTTTCCTATTTTCCATTCCTAACCAGGCTCAATCCTCCTGGTCGCACATGCCTTCCTCTCCTCCCTCTCATTTTCTCCTACTTCTCTCTCCATTAGCTGTCCTCCCCCACTATACCTGAGGTCTGGGGGACTTGTCCCTTCCCAGTTCTGTGAGGGACTTTATATGAATCTCTTAGAATACAACTTGTATCCTAGTTCCTCTGGTGCTGTGAATTATAGGCTGGTGATCATTTGATCTAGGTCTAAAATCCATATATGAGTGAGTACATACTGTGTTCCTCTTTTTGTGACTGGGTTACCTCATTCAGGATGGTTTCTTCAAGTGCCATCCACTTGCCTGCGAATTTCAAGATACCATTATTTTTTTCTGCAGAGTAGTATTCCATTGTGTAGATGTGCCACATCTTCATTAACCATTCTTCAATTGAAGGGCATCTAGGTTGCTTCCAGGTTCTTGCTATTACAAATAGTGCTGCTATGAACATAGTTGAACAGATGTCTTTGTTGCATTGATGTGAATCCTTTGGGTATATGCCTAAGAGGGGGATTGCCGGGTCCTGTGGTAAACTAATTCCCATTTTCCTGAGGAACCGCCATACTGATCTCCAAAGTGGCTGTATGAGTTTGCACTCCCACCAGCAGTGGAGGAGTGTTCCACTTTCTCCACATCCTCTCCAACATAAGTCATCACTGGTGTTTCTAATTTTAGCCTTTCTGGCAGGGGTAAGATGGTATCTCAAAGTTGTTTTGATTTGCATTTCCCTGATAGCTAAGGATGTGGAACATTTTCTGAAGTGTCTTTCAGCCTTTTTGATTTCCTCCATTGAGAATTCTTTCTTCAGTTCTGTACCCCATTTTTTAATAGGGTTATTTGGTGTTTTGTTGACTAGTTTCTTGAGTTCTTTGTATATTTTGGAGATCAGCCCTTTGTCGGATATAGGATTAGTGAAAATCTTTTCCCAGTCAGTGGGCTGCCGTTTGGTCTTGTCAACTGTGTCCTTTGCCTTACTGAAGCTTCTAAGTTTGAAGAGGTCCCATTTATTAATTGTTTCTTTCAGTGTCTGTGCCCCTGGAGTTATGTTCAAGAAGCGGTCTCCTATACCAATTTGTTCAAGGGTACCTCCTACTTTCTCTTCTAAGAGGTTCAATGTGGCTGGATTGATGTTGAGGTCTTTGATCCATTTGGACTTGAGTTTTGTGCATGGCGACAGACATGGGTCTATCTGCAGTCTTCTACACACCCTCATCCAATTGTGCCAGCACCATTTGTTGAAGATGCTGTCTTTGCCCCATTGTATAATTTTAGCTGTTTTGTCGAAAATCAGGTGTTCATAGGTGCGTGGATTAATATCAGGATTTTCAATTCGATTCCATTGGTCTACCTGTCTATTTTTATGCTAATACCAGGCTGTTTTCAGAACTATAGCTCTGTAGTAGAGCTTAAAGTCAGGAATGGTGATGCCTCCTGATGTTCTTTTTATTGTATAGGGTTGTTTTGGCTATCCTGGGTCTTTTGTTTTTCCATATAAAGTTGATTATTATCCTTTCAAGGTCGGTGAAGAATTGTGGTGGGATTTTAATGGGGATTGCATTGAATCTGTAGATTGCTTTTGGTAAGATTGCCATTTTTACTATGTTTATCCTACCTATCCAAGAGCATGGGAGGTCTTTCCATTTTCTGGTATCTTCTTTAATTTCTTTCTTTAGAGTCACAAAGTTCTTATTATATAGATCTTTTACTTGTTTGGTAAGCGTTACACCAAGATACTTTATGTTGCTTGTGGCTATTGTAAAGGGTGATGTTTCTCTGATTTCTTTCTCTGCCTCTTTGTCGTCTGAAAAAAATAGGGCTACTGATTTTTTTGAGTTTATCTTGTATCCTGCTAGTTTGCTGAAGGTGTTTATCAGCTGTAGGAGTTCCCTGGTAGAGTTTATTGGGTTGCTTATGTAAACTATCATATCATCTGCAAATAGAGACAGTTTGACTTCTTCCTTTCCAATTTGGATGCCCTTGATCTCCTTTTGTTGTCTTATAGCATTAGCTAGAACTTCTAGTACGATATTGAAGAGATATGGAGAGAGAGGACAGCCTTGTTTTGTTCCTGATTTTAGAGGAATTGGCTTAAGTTTCTCTCCATTCAGTTTGATGTTGGCAGTTGGTTTGCTGTATATTGCTCTTATTATGTTTAGGTATGTTCCTGTTATCCCTGACCTCTCTAATACCTTTATCATGAAAGGGTGTTGAATTTTATCGAAGGCTTTTTCTGCATCTAGGGAGATAATCATATGGTTTTTCCTTTTCCGTTTGTTTATATGGTGGATCACGTTGATAGATTTTCGTATGTTAAACCATCCCTGCAATCCAGGTATGAAGCCTACTTGATCATGGTGGATGATTTCTCTGATGTATTTTTGAATTCGGTTTGCCATTATTTTATTGAGTATTTTTGCATCGATGTTCATCAGGGATATTGGTCTGTAGTTTTCTTTCTTAGTTGTGTCTTTGTGAGGTTTGGGTACCAAAGTTATTGTGGCCTCATAAAAAGAGATTGGCAATAAACCTTCTGTTTCTATCTTGTGGAACAGTTTGAGGAGTAGTGGTATTAGTTCTTCCTTGAATGTCTGGTAGAATTCTGCATTGAATCCATCTGGCCCTGGACTTTTTTTCGTTGGAAGGCTTTCGATGACTGCTTCTATTTCATTTCGGGTTATAGGTCTATTTAAGTTGTTTGTCTGTTCTTGATTTAATTTTGGTAAGTGATAGTTATCCAGAAACTTGTCCATTTCCTTTGAATTTTCAATTTTTGTGGAATACAGATTTTCGAAGTATGACCTGAAAATTGTCTGGATTTCCTCTGTGTCTGTTGTTATGTTCCCCATTTCGTTTCTGATTTTGTTAATTTGCATGTTCTGTCTCTGCTTTTTCGTTAATTTGGATAAAGGTTTATCAATCTTGTTGATTTTCTCAAAAAACCAACTCTTTGTTGCATTGATTTTTTGATTGTTTTCCTGGTTTCTATTTTGTTGATTTCAGCCCTCAAGTTGATTATTTCCTGGCGTCTGCTCCTGCGGGGTGAATTCGCTTCTCTCTGTTCTAAGGTTTTCAGTTGCGCTGTTAATTCATTTATGTGACTATCCTCTGTTTTCTTCATATGGGCACTTAGTGCAATGAACTTCCCTCGTAGCACTGCTTTCAAGGTGTCCCATAAGTTCGGGTATGTTGTATCCTCATTCTCGTTGAATATTAGAAAGTCTTTAATTTCTTTCTTTATTTCTTCTTTGACCCAGGA